GCGCCCCCCCCCCCCCCCCCCCCCCCCCCCCCCCCCCCCCCCCCCCCCCCCCCCCCCCCCCCCCCCCCCCCCCCCCCCCCCCCCCCCCTATCGTATCTCGTGGGTGTTGGCGTGGGTGCTTATACGTTCCTCTCCCTTCAACGCTTCAACGCGAGACTAAGGTGCTTCCCTTGTATTCCTTCTCCCACGACTAATTGCCAATTGCTAGGCGAAATCGAAATCGCGCACGGTGAGTGCGACCTTGCAGACATTCAAAAGACTAGGTACTATCCAGATATGCATAGGTACGCAAGAAACAAGACAAGGATACGGGGATAACCTGCCGAGGTCGTGAGTAGTTCTTTTAAGGATGGGAGAATGGGGCAGATTGGAGAGTTGGGAGTTAGAATAGATATTGAATGAAAAAGAGAAGGAATATAATTCCATGTAACGGGATCTGAGCCGAGACTTGCAAATAATAGTGGAAAGTGGAATAGTGGATTTGATTTAGTGGCGGGTTATAGGTGGTAAGCTTGGTAGGCTGATAGGGCAGGTAAGGTATTAAGTATGTAGGTATCCTAGGTAAGGTAAGGTAAAAGGATAGCTGGGCTGCTGGGTAGATGCTAATAGTAAAATAGGTAGATAGGTACTAAAATTCTAGTTACGCCGTCGATGCGATACATTCATGTACGTGGGGAGTCGATTCTTCTAGCAATAGGACCCCGTGCTTTGGGCTCTTGGGCCTGAGTGGATGAAGTGGGATGCGGTAAAACCACCACCATAAACCATAAACGTAGGTAGTACCTAGGTAATTTAAGCCCTAGAGCATTGGAGCACTGGAGAAATAGTAAGGGTTGAGTAGGTAAAGAAGCAGTTGCGAGGAGCTTGCAGAACGGGGGGACTGGGGGGAGTCGAGAAGTATGGGTTGAGACAGACGCGGTGGAAAAATCTATGGGTCAGAGGTCCGATGTAGGCGCACATCTGAGAATGGCTATGATGTATTTTTCATACGAGAAATGAGCTAAATTTGGTGCAAATTGCGCATGTACCTCTCGGCGTATATCCGAGAACGCTTCTCCATAATTAGGTCTTGGCGCCTCTCATGTCAATTTCAAAACTCTAATAAGCACCGACCCTGGATATTGTACATTTACATCCATGCATCCTCTACGTGCATAGGTACATTGATTTTTTTCTTCTTTACTAACATCATCTGCACACTAGGCACGTATATGATTAATTTTGAACTTCGCACACGGGGTCAAAATATTTATTAATGCCAGTTCTTACCCCCCTTACGTTCTTCAATAGGCTGACAAATTTACTCAGGTATTTAAAAGAGGTAAGATTCTTATATTTATATCAATGTTAGTTATATACAAATGTGTACATTGATAGATAAGAGGAGGTATGGCATGCACAGTAGCCATGTATATCTGTGTATGTGCCTGACCCCCTGTTGGCATCCAGTTTGTCTATGATAGAATATACGTCTAGATATCGATTCTTTCCCCCTCCTTATGACGGATCAAAATGATTTGAGATGTTTGATTTGGTTAAGTCTCGTTTTATCTATCAGATCCTGTTGGCAACATTACAAGCATCGCCTCCAACAGACAAATAAGAAACAAGATAACGTTATTACGGGAGTATTCTCCCTCCGTCCATTCCGTGATCGCCCATGAGTGACATATAGAGTTGCAATAAGGCATATAAATGTATATATGTGAATATAATGGATGGCACCATCCTCCCTTTTGAATTTCTTGATAGCTACTTTGTAGTTATCCCTGCTTGGGTGTGTCTATGAAATTTGGGTCATAACTAAAGAGGGATGATACAGAACAAGCTGTGGCAATGAGAAAGGATAAGAGAGTAAACGGTCTTGGCCGCAACGTATTGAAATAAGATATCAAGTTAGGTACAGTATCTTGTTAAAAAGGGTATGTATTCGGAAATTGTTCACATTCGGGTAGAAAAGCCTTGGTTGGTATCGATACTTGATAGAACGTCAAAAATGAGCAAGATGATCGAGCTACCAACTTTGATACGCCACGTTCCGAGCTCGATCCTCGATATTGGCCACCCAAAAATCCTTATAAGGCGATTGTCAGCTCTATTCTTTGTGGGCGTCAGGGACTTGCCACGTTTGCCTTATCAGGGCAAAGCTGAAGTCTCGTGCAGATAATATGTTGTTAATGGCCTAGCCCACGACCCAAATGATGTAATGTAATATATCGCATTTAATGTAAGGTTATAAGTTTGGGGCCTTAAGTAACCTTTAGATGAGAGCAAGCAAATCAATTTACGGGCGTACGACCAAGTTTGTTTTGTATATACTTTGATAATTACCTATGTAGGGATTTGTAGCAATGATACTCCTTACTGTGCGTAGAAAGGTATATGAGACGATCAAGTCCGTGGTACTGTTACAAGGTCAAACCGTTGAATCTCATGATGGGATGGCGCTGTCATAGTCCAAAGTCTGAATCGACTCTTCGGTCGAAGTAAAAATATGTTGAGAGCCATCGGCGTTTATAATAATAATAGTTCGCGGGAATATAATATGGTACGCTAATAATAAACCGGCGCGTTCGAAGATGCAGGTACAGTTGCACGACCGTACTAAATGCATGCAAAAAACTTCCGATGAATATGTCGGAGATAAGTAACTCATAGTCACCGAGTTGTCTATTCAAGTTTTACACCTAAGTAATTCAGTAAGTAATTATAAATCGTCGAGTATTTGTCAGATACCAAATTCGTAGATGTTAAATACAAATATACCTAGCCTTGGGAAATTATGCTAATGCACGTATCTGTCAGTCAGTCTAAATGCTTTGCAGTTGCAAGGATCGCCAAGTCGGCGGAGGCTATTGATGTAAGCCCGTCATGCAATGTGCCGGGAGATCACTGCAGGACATATGGGGCAACGAGGGGTGATTTTTTTTTTGGATTTTGGCGGGCTCGGCGGGGCTTGAATAGAACCTTGGAAGTGGGAAAGACACCTTGGGTTTGACCCTGACCTTGCCTTGACGCCCCCGCGGCGTCTCCCGCACTTTCTCTCCATGAACTTATTTTTCTTGTTCAGTCTCGGGAGGCAAGTGGATCGTCCCAACATACTTCATGTAGTAGTTCTGGAGAATGGGGGAACTTGGAACCCACTCACTTGCTCAATTGAGGTAATGGAATGGAGATGCTCTTGCTATCCGCCCCGGGTCGTACCTCCCGTTCCGAACCTCCGTTCCGGCTCTCTTCTGATTGGACTATATTTATCATACCCCGGACTTTCGTTTATCTCAAAAAAAACAGCTCCTTCTTAACTAATTATAAGTCAAAGGAAACATCTCAAACATGAGAATAATAATGCGCTATGCAAAAAAATTGTTGAGTTATGAATGATGTTGATGAACTTCGGTAATAAATATTCATGCGACGGAATAGCCGACCACCGGACGTAATCAAACGGCACAATGCACCTATAGATGTATCAACATGACAAGCCGTGTCATCCGAAAAATTCAAAATTGATATCATATGGACTGCTAGAATTTTCTTCTAGCTACAGTCATTACCAACTAATCTCGTTAGGTCGGCAGAGTCGGAACTGCTGACCATATTCGCCGAACCTGGCCGTCTACCACGTCCAATCATACATGTCCTCGCCACAGACCGCTTAGACTAATCATCTTCCGGCGGTAGCTCATCGTCGATATATCTGATTAAGGATATTCTCATCTCGGTGGTATCGTTCCCCCGTAGTACGTCGCTAATGAAGTGTGCTTCGACTTGCATCTGAACCATCTCAAGCGCACCCCTTAGAACACCACAAAATATATTTGAGTACCATAGCTCATCCTGTGCTCTGCCATCATCTGGTAGTTCGACGAAATCGGCTAATGGGTTCTCTTCGAAGACGAGGGAGAATTGTTTACTGTCGCTTGTCCAATTTGTTACGGTCGGTGTGATGTTAAGGAATATCTTGAAGCCGACCTATCCCAAAAAATGCGGGTTGTTAGCCTAGACGGTACAAAGAGAAGGTGCTTCATTCTGGAACTACCTTTGCGATCATGTCGGCCGTCTCCCGGAAATTCGAGCATCGTCTCATAGTATTAGACTTGGCAAGGTAATCTTCAATTAATCGCAGACCGATGTTGTAACCCATCCTATCCAACTGTTTGTTGACCTCGACATAATCGCCCTCAAAGTCTTTACATAGTTGCGCGACTATGGTACCGTAAGTCAAGGTAACGAGCTCGGCGTTGACCTTATCAATACGACCTCTTATAATACTTTGTTAGAGCAAGTTATTATTGTCGGTGGGCATCGTCGACTTACTTCCAAATCCTGGGGCATTTATTAGTCGAGAAGGTAGAAGGCTGAATAACTGCGGCCCACTTACTCTTCGCCCACACGGGCAGCCTTATTTGCTGACATGCTCGACCGACGAGCTTAGGCGAAGCTCATTCAGGTCATTGACTCTTCTTCTCTTATGCGCGTCGTACAGCACTTCTCCTGGGGGGTAACTTTGATGTTGTTGGTCTTGGCTTGCAAATATGTCGTTGTAATTTTAGTATGATGTAGCATTAAGTATTGAGTATAGAGTAGGTATTGGAAGACGGTGAGTAAATGGGGTGTATCCGGTGAGAATTGATTGGATGGAATCACGATCTAGAAACCTAATGTGTTAGGTAAGATCGAGGGGTAGCATCAAAAGTCGGTAAAACAGACAACTGGAAGCTCCGATCTGTTCCACTTTTATGCCGTTTAGCTTAATGGAAAAACTCTTTTCCGCCTTAACTTCTACCAGAGCTCTCTAGCTTAAAGATTCCCTTAGCTAAACAAATATCGAATATCGTGTGCCTACCTATATTCCAAGCTCAATACATCGTGACGCCATACCGCACCTTGTACCTCTCGCGCATTCTCACTATTAAACTATTTACCCGTTACCAAATACTGAGGGATATCTACAATAATGTCCGCCGAAAAAAGACCTGCGCCTGATGATCCAGGTGCAGGCCAGTTGGTCGTGAAGAGACAGAAGCCAGGAACTAGCACTGCGCTCTCCCGTCGAGATGGTTCCACGAGCGGCGCATTGGTACAATCAGTATGCACACCACATATTTTACCCCTCCCAAAGGTGTCTTGAGCACTGGTTCTGGTACGGTGCTGATATGATATTTTAGGCTGTCCGAACCAGCAATCTGGAAGCTCCATTGATGGAACTTACTGGCCATTCCGGAGAGATCTTCTCTGCAAGGTTTAATCCAACCGGTGACCTAGTTGCTTCAGGATCGATGGACAGAAATATTTGTAGGTTTTTCTTTGCCTTGCCTAGGGTTTCAGTACTGAGCTCTCAACTGACTGGAATAGTACTATGGAAATCATCAGGCGCATGCGAAAACTACGGAATGTTAACCGGCCACCGAGGAGCGGTTTTAGATCTGCAATGGTCTCGCGATTCCGAAATATTATATTCAGCCTCGGCTGACATGCATCTCGCGAGTTGGGATTTGACTTCTGGGACTAGGATACGACGATATATCGGACACGAGGAAATCATCAATACTATGGACATCAGCAAGCGCGGCGAGGAATTTCTAATTAGTGGAAGTGATGATGGTACTATAGGTATATGGGATCCTCGATCGAAAAATGCCGCCGATTTTATCGAGACAGAGTTCCCGATTACGGCGGTGGCAGTAGCGGAGGCCGGCAATGAAATCTACTCTGGGGGGATTGATAACGACATTAAGGTCTGGGATATGCGTAAGAAGGCTGTTGTTTATTCAATGTTGGGTCATAATGATACGGTGACCAGCTTACGTGTCTCGCCGGACTCGCAATCGTTACTGTCATATTCACACGACTCGACAGCAAAGACTTGGGACATAAGACCATTTGCACCAACCGAGCGACACATTCGCACATTCGACGGAGCACAGATGGGAATCGAGAAGAATCTGATCCGAGCTAGTTGGGATCAGGCTGGCAAGAAGATAGCCGTAGGAGCTGGTGATGGGACTGTAATTATATGGTCTAACGACAACGGCAAGCTTCTTTACAAACTACCAGGCCACAAGGGAACAGTCAACTGTGCTGAGTTCACTCCTAATGAGGAGCCCGTCAGTAAGTTATCTCTAATTTGGATCCGTGTGAAGGTGCATGGTTTGACTAATATGTGGCTGCAGTATTATCGGCATCTTCCGATCGTAGAATGTTGATTGGTGAACTCCGATAAGAGGTCCAACTTGGAGAGACAAACACAGACATCTAAACTGCCTACTTTTTCTAAGTCGCAGTCATAATGGTCATCAAGAGCTTACATATAGGCCTTTTTCGTTTCTTCGCAGATACCCCGATGATCAAAACCCTTTAATTGGATTGTCATCGATATTTTGATATAGGTTCAAGGCTTACTTAACGTCCAATATTAGGGATCAAGCTAGCCATCTGTAGGCAAGTTTGATATCCTACATGGACCAAGTTAAACGTTCCGAAGAGCCTCATGCTCACCTAACAGGAGTCCTCAAACTAGCTGAAGCTTGGCTGTTACCCTAGCACCAGGTTCTATGCTACCTACAAGCCAGCTTCACCCGGTACTCATACAAGATGCAACATAAAGACATTGAAAATGGAGGCAACCAATTCTTGTCATGTCTCCAGTAGTTGCACAATAGTTGCATACCTAGGTACCTAGGACAGTATTACATCATGGTCAAATACTATTCCTATCCCTTCGGTTGAAGATGCTCTATTGGATACAATCAGATGTATCAAGATTTATACAATAAATTCTACGAATCGAATGTAGCAAATTATATATGCATATGGATATGGGGACATACCTATTTACATAAATTTGATGTAATAAAGGCATGACGAACACCCTTTTCCCGGTGTCGGGTACGTAGCTACCTATATCCAGGTACCTTAATCCGAAACAATAGTTGTGGTCGAGACCCCTGCATCTACGTTTCACCTCCGACAGCCTCGGCGCGTATAATGCAAGTCTGAGAACGGGCCTCCAAATCAAATGCGTTTGCACTATGAAACCTCGCAACCTGATTGGTCAACTTTATTTTTATCAACTACCCTTTTTGGATAATTCAGGTCGGCTTAGGTCATTAGCTGTTTTGCATTGCCTGGCATTATTCCTTTCTTATTCCTTTATGCTTCACCAACGATAGTACCAATTGTCGACTGTCGACTTGGGAGGGTGGCATCCTCGGGATCGTGCAGATGAGACCTGCCAAGATTTCATTACACTCGCTAGTTCATCTCGAACCCATCCGTTCTACCTGGTAACTTGTCAAGCGCCCGTGACGTTCACATCTTCCTTTGTCTATCTCCTCTCGTGCCTTGCAGCTAACGCCTCTCCCTCGTCTCTCATTCATTTGTGGCTATCTTGTCTTCCCTAGTTTCGGATCTACCATCCATTCGACGAGCCGATTGACGGCTCCTGCGGTCGATGGAACTCTTGTAACTTTTGCTTTTTCCTTATTGTACTACCTATCGTCCCTCGTTTTATACTGCATCTACTCAACACGAGTAACGGGCTTTGAGAGTTCCGATTCCATTCTCTTACACAGCAGCAGAGTATATCAAGTCTGATCATACTCGCTGTCTGAATTTATCTATTTTTTTTATTATCCCTTCGTTTTCTTCCTTGAATTTGGCTGGTCCTTCTCGAATTTTGTTATTTACAATCCAAGACATCCATATATCGAAAACTGCAGGTACCCGAATCCCTTGGTTCCGAAGGAAATTGATTCGTCGAGAGTGCCCGTTTGCGAAACCCAGGGCGTAGAACCTCGAAAAGGGACCTAGTCTCTATTGCCAATCGATCTACACAATTGACCTATCGACACGATCCCTCTGTATATACACGTTAGGCCGACCTAATTTAACCATCCGCGTCTGTTTATCGAACTTTATAGGCCACGTCCTGTTCCTGGCCTTCATCGAATTCACATTGATAGAGAAGGTTGGCAAACAAAAGCATGTCTAGTGTTGGATATCGGTGACATTAGGTTCGACGCTTAAGAAGAAGCAGTATACCTGCCGATCCTAGCGATGGATTTCATTCGGGCAAATGTCTTGCGGAGGGGTCAGACTTCGGATGGACAGGCACAGGCCTCGCAACAACAGAGGCAGGTTGAGATGGGCGAACAACCGAACTCCCGCACAAGACGCTTCTCGATAAGTCGACCACCCATGCCATCATTGTCTATGGGTCGATCGCGCACAAATGAACAACCTCAACGGACCGATGGCGATAGATCAGAAGATGATAGTCCGAAAACGCCACGCTTCAACTTGGGGCTTCCGAATATGCCCTCTACTCGTTTACATGTACCGAACCTAAACCGACCACCAACTCGAGATTCACCCGGGCCAATGTCACCTGACCGGGCTGAACGACCATCCGAACCTGCGTCACAACCCATACCCCGAATACAAACCGAACAGGTTCCTCCCATATCTGAACCACCACCTTCTCATGGGAATGGCAGCTCGGAAGGTGGGGACGCAGGACGCTCGCGATTTCGAGGCGCTGATCCGGGCGAGACTCACTTAGCCGATCTCGTACACAGAGGGCGGCGGCATCGCCGCAATCCTCAAAGCCGGAGACATGAGCCTGAGCAGGATGGGCGCCCCAAAAGATTTTTATTCTGCTTCCCATGGGTCAGATCGAGGCGCATACGCTCTCAAATTCTCCGTTGTTTCGTCTCGGGCATTCTCCTCATTATCATGCTTGCTGTTTGTGAGTAGTCCACAAATATCTATCGCACTATTTGATTCTAACGGGGGAATCGCAGATCTTGCCCTTTCGATCACGAAGAACGTTAACAGCAACGAGTTTACGGTGCTTCTAGTCCTCGTCATACTCTTTGCGACTATTTTCTTTTGCCATGGCTTGATTCGGATTTGTATGATAATTATCAAGCCACCTAATGATGACGATGAAGAGCGTCCACCCATGCCGCGATTAATGGAGCCTGGCGGTTATGCAGTTCCGCGGCGACCCATTCACGTCATTCTTGCACGCGACGAAGAGTTTGCAGGAAATAATGATACGGCAAACAAACTGGAACCTCCGGCTTACGGGCTCTGGCGCGAGAGCGTGGTATGTATTAACAGGTGTTGCCTTCAAACTTAGTGTAGATTTTTGCTAACAGATAGTATAGCGTGTTGATCCAGACCGCCTATATTGGCAACGCAACGAACAAGCACCCACAGAGAGTGATGAGGAGAGTTCACATTCAGAAGCGGGTCACGCTCGACCACCGTCTTACGCATCGGAAGACGGCGTATCCTATGTTGTTGAAGCTCGTCCAAGATCTATAGTTCCACCGACGGAAGTTCCGCTTCCACCACACCCCTCAGAGGTTGGACGCGTCTCCGGGACAGAACTGATATGAGATGCTTGGTAATAGAGCACGTCAAATCCGGTTTCGTCGTACTTACCTTGGATGGAGGATTAGTTGAGTGGGGTGAGCAGGAAAGTCGTAATGGTATGCAAAATCGAGAAAAGGCAAAAAAGGACAAAAACAAAGTAAAGAGAAATCGGGTCATATGTTCTCGTCTATACCAGCACAGGTAGAATGAGATTACATACACGCATAGAATTTGCGTTCAGCATTGGCGTCTGGGGGAGCGAGGATTGTTTACATTGCTTTCAAAAACCATTGCTTAATGGTGGATTATCATGGGACTTTTAAAGCCTTGTAATCGAGTTGTCGTATCTCGACGTAGTATAAATCGAATGGAATCAGATTTGACCTAACACAAAATCAAAATAATTCGATTCCATGTTAGAAACTACATCCATTGTTTCATTCATGAGGTATTTAGTAAAATTAAGTATACACTAGTCGATCTTTTATACGCGATTTAGTACGTTATAGTCGGATCTTCGACTTAGGTAGCTATACCATTAACCGTCCGAGATTCTATTGGAGTGAGAGGACCGGATAAAAGCAGAACGGATGGACTATAACATGTACTATCCAATAAAGCCCCCGAGGATTCTACTCCGACTGTCTTATTCGGTGATCTCAATGTTTCATTCTCCACGTGGATAGGTCTATGACCCTGGAATATGACGGTGACAGTAGAACCGGGTAGAGTCAATTGAGTATAATGTAATTTATATAGGAAATAGAAAGGGAGAGATCGACGTAGGAAGAGTGGTCAGGTGTCATGTCGCGAATGCGACGATCACAGAATTTTTTTTTTGTACATTAATAAAATTATTTATACTGAAACTCTTCTTAGCTTTGTGTATAGTGTAGGCGTAGTCTTATCTGATAAGTAGTACTATCTTAACTCGAGGAGTAGCCATCGTTATGACCCGCAACCTTGCCTCCCACGATATATCATATGAGATCTCTAGAAACCACTACGTCGCGGACGCGGAGATGTCCTTAACCGGGAACGCGCCAATAACGATAGCACCCCACGAGCCGATGCCAACAAGACGCTTGGCAACAAAGGAACCCCGGGAATATCGACATATTCCAGTAGGACATAACTAATCAAGATCGCGATCACAGTCACAGCCCGGAGGGTTGGCGATGTTAGGAGCAAGATCAACGAGGCGGAAGCATTATTGTAAGACCCCGGGCTTGCGATGGTGGTCTGATTGGTTAGGATCCGGGTCTAGGAGGGAAGGGTCGTGTAGGCTGATGAGGAGGTGGCGGCGGCTACATCTCTCCTTGCACCAACACCAAGAGACAAGAGATCCATGGGACGTTGCAATATGAGCCGTAGGATTGGGCGTGTGGCTTCTTATTGAGGAAACCATGTGGTATGCCTACCATATGTGGGCGTCAATATGCAGGTTCCGGAATTCCAACAAGTCGTTATTTTGGTTTCTTTTTTTCCATTCCTACCGGCGCCAATGAATTCCAAGTGATGGATCAGGCACTCGATGGTTGATGGTAGCTAACCCGACCTAGGTAAGGCTCAACTGCGACATCGAGAGACAATAGAGCTAGACTGTTCCAGATTATGACCCTGTCTCCTTATTTTTCTCGTTTCTCGTTTCTCTCTTTGGTGGCCATTCCATCTTTCATCCCGCATCGCCCAGACCTTTGCGCGTCTTTCGGGCCTCAAGTCCTACGATGTGGGGTCGGGTATCCGTATGTGCACCTAGATAATATAGTAGTACGAAATAGAATAGACACAAAGCAAGGTTATCGTGTTTTACGAGGGGTGATTCAGCCCCATAAGTCGCATGGGATGATCGCCTACCTAGGTATTCACTTCCCACCACCCCTCTTCCGGCCCACGTTCTCATAACCACCTATCTACCTAGGGTATTCAAGAAACATGTCTAGGTACCCTATGGGTTTTTCTATCCATTATAATAGTTAGTTTTTTGTTGTGGAAATTAATAAAATAAAGAGAATAATAGTTTGAGGGATATAAGACAAAACCTCAGGTCCCCACCACGAGAACGAGAACCAAACACGTGAAAAAGAAATGGGATAGTCGGCGCCATCGGGTAGCTCGCTAAAAGTCTGCAGGAATATGCTAGTGAGACTTTGGATCACTTTAGATCCATGTTCTCCCTGCCTACTTAGGTAGCCTAGATACGAAATTTTTTTTCCCTACCTACTGTAGCCATGCAGGGCAGCAAACCGTAAGACACTAAGAGAGAAGAAAAAAGGGGGGAGGGACTAAAAATTGGGTGTTATTATTATTGGTGGACGAATTCACGAAGTTGATTTCAAAGTGGAAAAATCGAGTTTGTTAACCATAATACACATTTTCTTAGGTATAATGTATGTGTATGCCTGATTCTTTCAATATGTATACTAAATATTTATGGTATAGTGTAGAGTATGGTAATACAAATGTGTAGTACAAAAAGAGGGAGGAGATAGTTTAGATAGTATACTAATGTAGCACAAGAGGGCCGATTACATAGTCGATAGTAGATAATTCCTTCCCACCCTTGAAAGAGACATTCCAGTTGAGGAAGGGGGGGGGGGGGGAGTTAATAATTAAACCAAAACAAGGAAGTTACCTAAAGAAAGGAATAGAGAGGAATAGAGAAAGAGAGAGGGAAAAAATGAGGTAGCCACCTGAACTTCCCACTACGAAAATTTCGGCGATCTATCCGCTAATAGGTAAGTAAACCCTACCTAGGTACTGAGGAATGCAGGGAAGGCACTTATTTAACGTATTGCTTCAAGTATTGGTTACCTACTTCGTCGCAAGTTTTATTAGCGCGGCATACAACATCATATAGTTCCAAGGTTGGTACATTACATATGTATGTAGAGAATACTTTAGCTCATAGTACCTAAACCCCTTCGCCCGCACCCGGGGGGGTACATACCTATGTATCCACTTCATCGACTCTGGATTCTGGACCTTGGGCCTTGTGTCCCCTCATTCCCCCTTCCCTCTTGTCCCTCTCTCTTTTCTCTTAACCCTCTTGTTCCCCCCCCTGACGATTTCTATTATTACTTCCTCATCGCATTGTATCGCATCGCATCGCTTATCAACCCTCAATCGACTTTTGGAGGTCGCGAAGTGTTTGGAGACGTCGTCGCTCGGTAGAAGAGAGAAGGTTGCTGTTGGCTGAAGGATAACGCAGCAGGAAAAAAAAAAGAGAAGGAAAACAGAAAAACGTTGAAGTTGCGAAAGGAATAAGCAGAGAAATCATATAACGGTTTTTTATAAAAGGGAAACATGTAAGTGTTTGAAACAGTTTTCCTTTAGCTTGCTTATGTTACGACTATTTATCGTCGTGCGCTTTTTGAAAATGACCCGGCGCGCATTTTGGTGTGTGGTACAGCGACAGGTCCAGATCTCGATATGTCTCTTTTCCTTTTTACTGCTGTTGTACGACAGCAACTCTCCCGAGGATATATAGCTGCAGCGACAATAATAATACCGACGATTCTGGCGACATCAATAGCGACTATAATTCATGCGATTTCGTTGCGCGCGCATATCTTACAATTCCGTGCGCCACGAGAGAATAATTCGTATATCCCACCTATACGTACGTTGATCTTTGAGCTGCGACTTCGCGACTACTGCACGATGCGCCAACATAACAATGGCTCGGATACCATTTCCCTCCTCTTCCCTTTGCCTCGGGTTCAGGAATGGTTTCCGATTACGAATGCTGTAACGTTCGGCGAAAATGAAAAGCGATGATTGCTTGCCTGATTTACGCGACGCGCGATTCGATTGGTCTACATATAAACCACCTTCCAACCGCATTCTCGCATTTCGGACATCCAATATTTACGACGGTATAAAAATACTACTCGGGCGCAATTATATACAACCAGAACTATACGTTGCCTTCATAAAATGCGAAATATTACGGCTGGCGCGATTGAGCGCTTTGCGCGCGCAAACATGAGAGGATCTCGAAACCACATGACAAAAAACCAGTGCGAGACACTACTCTGCTGAAGAGACCGGGTTTCACGAGAAACACAGCTACATACATTTCTTGTCTATCTCGCATCTTGTGTCGGGTCGCACGAACCCAACCGTCTGCAGCCAACCCAGTCAATCCGGTCAACCTGCAGATTCTGGAAAAACCACTCAATGGCAGTTTGCGAAACAGTACCATCCTTCGTGGGGTACTTTACCCGACAAACGACTGCACGTGGCGGTACCTTGTTACCCCTTTGGGTAGTATCCAATTGATTACCCGCGTCCATATCCTACCTATGGTGTAGTGGATGAACACCTCCTATCAAACAGCAATATCTGCGCGTCGCTCCTTTTTTACCACCGGATAACCTGGTCTGGATATTTTCGATGAGAATATCTCCGACCAAATGTCTGCCATTTCCTTGACAGAGGATTGGCTGTTATTGAGCCGGAAAACTAACCTACCACCACCACATCGCTGCAAACGGGTCATCCAAGAATGGATTGTTGGTGATAAAGCTTTTGTGAAGTGTCGCGCTGATGATGGATCTACACAGACTCACAGACTTGTCGCAATGTCTTCCCTATCTCGTCGAGCATGCTACAAATGTGGCAATGTTGGCCACTACGCCGAGGTTTGCTCCTCCGCTGAGCGCCTTTGCTACAACTGCAAACAGCCTGGTACGCCGTTGCTATTGCGAATCCCTTTGTCGCAATAACTCTTTCAACTAACAGTCCATACTTAGGACACGAATCCAACCAGTGCCCTCTACCCCGCACTACCGAGGCAAAGCAGTGCTACCACTGCCAAGGCCTCGGACACGTCCAGGCTGACTGCCCTACTCTCCGTTTGAGCGGTGCTGGTGGTAATGGTCGTTGCTATAACTGCGGCCAGCCCGGCCATTTAGCTCGAGCGTGCCCTAACCCGGCTGGTGTAGGCCTAGGGCGTGGTGCACCCGTTGGTCGCGGTGGATACGGTGGCGGTTTCGGTCGAGGTGGTTTTGCTGGTGGCCCCCGACCTGCCACCTGCTATAAGTGCGGTGGCCCGAACCATTTTGCGCGCGATTGCCAGGCTCAGGCTATGAAGTGCTACGCCTGTGGAAAGCTCGGACACATCTCCCGAGACTGCACGGCGCCTAACGGCGGTCCTCTGAACACTGCTGGTAAGACTTGCTACCAATGCGGTGAAGCCGGTCACATTTCACGCGACTGCCCCCAGAAGGCCACTAACGGCGAAGTACCGGCTGAGGTTGAGATCCCCACTGCTCCGGCTATCCCCCCGGTAGCATAATCGGGATATTCTAGCACACGGAACATTCGGCCGTGGCCTAGTCTGGTGATGAGCGTCTCCCATCAGAGCCGCCGCTACGGCGGTGCTCCCGAATGGGTTTGATTGCCCTCAAATACCAAGCTGGCCGTCTCAGGCGGGCTATCCGCTCATCTGTTAGCGCCGAATAGTCCCGAAATCTTCTCCTGATGGAGGGAGGACTTTAAAATTTCCCGATAATTTTTATTCGTCGCATTCTGCATTATTTAAATCTGAGCATAACTAGCACCATCTCCTACCCTTTACTACACCTCATATTTTCAATTACCATTTATCATCCCACACTCCTCGTCGCTTTTATCGCCTCATCGATGTTCGGGCGTTCTCGGCCGCAGGGAACTTCCACGTGCTTCAAACCCGCGGGCGGCAGTGCGTCGCTCATGGGATTTGTCGAGGTCAACGCGGAAAGTTCACTTATCATCGAATTAGCATCGACTACCTCCTTTTTTTTTCATTTTTCATCTATTTCCTTTTCCGGCATGACTCATGGCGTACATGATACGATACGGCTAGACCTCTCCATGACGTACGACATGGTTTTTGTGCAAGCAGACAAATTTCCTTAATGAATTGGATGCGCGTACAGACTCTGGATCAATCGGATCAAAATCATTCTTCTTCAGATACCCCATCTTCGCCCTCCTGTATTATGACTAGCAAGAAAGAGGAGAGTGGAGGAGGAGTGGCATTTTGACGAGAGAGAAAAAGGGAAGGGCCAAACCTGTTGGCCTTGTTGCCAGCGGGACTTCGGAGCGCGTAACAGGGAAGGGCGGAACCACGAGCAAACGACACGAAACTTGATACTCGGAAGGAAACTTGGCCCACAACGGATTCGGTGGTACGCGAGCTGTTGTAGAGCAAGGGTCCTAGGAACACGCAAAAATACCCCTGGAAGAGCGAAGTCTCTAAGGGTGAGTAGAGAAGCAAAGGACGGCAGTGGAGCGAGTGAGTGAGTGGGGACGCGACCGACTTGACAAAAAGCAGCAGGGATAGGCAAGAGGGCAGCTACGGAGGTGGCGCGCTGAGCCTTGAGGGAAAACAGAGGACTCTACAATAGCTTAATACCGTGTTGGATCAGACGCCGTTGAGGATAGATGTATGTGTCGCATTTGTAAAGGAGAAGATCGCCGCCGAATAATCGAAACAACAAAACAAAAGGGGGCTGTTAGCTGATGGGGTCGGGATCTTCTCCGTCGTCGTCACTGATAGGTCAAGTCAAATCAAGTCAGTCAAGTTATATTTTGTAGTGTTGTATTAATGCTGTGAGGTCAGTGGCTCTCTATACCCCTCAGGAGGGGGTGGCGTTCGCGTCTGAATTCTCGTTGGCGGGCTCCGTTCCGTCACGGTAAGGGATGTTTTGGAGTTGAGGTATTGTTTTATACCCCCTCTGTATATGCCAACGACGGGTGAGAAATGTATATAGAGCATAGAAGCACTCAATAGCTCGCGGTTTAAATGGCTACGCATATTGATGACCTCTGGCTGATTAGTCTGAAAGTCTGGAATTCTGTGTCTCCTAACATCATAAAGTGGAATGGAAATTCGGAACAATATCTTAACCAGCACTTTTGAAACCTGATAACCACCCAGATTTTATTTTTTGCTACCTAGATTCTAATTACGAATAGAGTATACACATTATGATCCATTTGAGACAGGCGTCTTCTTCACCCAAACCTCGCCTATAGGATCATCGTGGTCTTGAACACATTCCCACTCTCCAATGCCGTACTCTTCCGGTGCTATGCGCATTCCACGCCCACCGCCACCGACAATCAAGTTCCCGGGGCGGTAAGCTTTATCTTGTTTCATTCGTCGAATCACCGAACCGTGTATCCTAGCGCTCTGGGGGATATCCCTTACCTCTCCGCACGGGAGTGGCCAACGGATCGGTTTCCACGATCCGTCTGGCTGTAAATCCATTCGTCTGAAAGGCATGTATTCCACTACGAAAAACTGGCATTAATAACTGTCCTTGGGGCCCTTTTAAAAGTAAACTTGGCTTTAAATGCCTACGAGCCCTAGACTAGGGAAAATGTAGGGAAAAGGGATGGGTTAAAGACATACTTATGTTCCAGCTCATTACCTGACCTTTACCTAAACCAGACGCAAACTCCAGAGAATCATGTATCCTAGCCAAGTGAGCTTTGTGTAGCATATGATGAAATGGTCGAATAGGCTCTTCTTGGTTCTTCTCTTCTTCGCCCGTGTAATTGAAATGACCCCAGTCCTTGTGCCCGGCCCCTGGGTTAGTAGAGGGTTGGAGTGTCGGGCTCGACATATCAATACGAATGTCCGGAAGGGCAATGTCGCCATGACTAGCATGATGACCATTAGTAGCAGCATCCGCAAATATCTCAGTGACTCCCATTTCAATCAATTTTTCGACATCAAAGTTGAGACCTGCTTTCTGGGCTTCCCTGATCATATAGGTTAGAGGTACGTGGCTCGTAGATTTGCTATCCTCAGGAACCTCCCATCCGCCCCCAACATCTCCGTGGCCACCCGCGAACCTATGAGAATTAGTTATGACACGTATTATTCGGGAGTATCTCAATCAAACTTACCATATTTCATCGATATCCTGTTCATCGTCCGACTCTTCGTCATCATCTGTAAATTGGCTGGCATCCTGCCCTCCCTCTCCGAATTGGCTCATCCCATCAACGGAGGCTCTTGGGGTTCGCGACTTGGACCGAGAATGGGGACGGAATGCGCGCTCATCAATAGGCGCTAGAGTCTCGCGACGACCCCTCTCCGGATGAGCGTTTGGTGTGGAATCTGAAATCGCAGCTCGTTTCGCGCGGTACTTCTCGTGGACGATATCGTGAAGGTGTCTGTGTGGATGGTGTTCTCGACGCCCCTTATTAACTCCTTGGTACATAAGATCCTGTCGGAACTTCGCACGTCGCTCATCTATGGAGACGCAATGCCTAATCCTCTATCAATCAAGTTAGATGGGTTCATACATGCGAATAACCACGGGCTACCATACCTTAGCACTACTCTTCGCGGTATATGGGTGCTTTGACCTTTGCATCCAGGCAGCCTCGAATCGAGGTACCGAGTTGACGGTATCGAATAATCCTAGAAACCGAATCCTTTTCACAGGACGGCTGAAAGTTTCTCGAAACCCCTTCATGAAACGGTACATTTCGTTTCGTTTAGCTTCTTGTTCTTCTGTTTGATCTGCCTGTCGAGCTTGCCATTGTGAGAACGCTTTCCAAGCGAACGTTACCATCTCCTCGTTTCCATGAGATAGTAAACCGACGTAGTCGAGCATTTCCGCCAAAAAGCGTGCTACATATGCGCCTCTAGAGAATCCGAAGAAGTAGATTTCGTCGCCTGGTTGGTAGAAACGCATCAGAAACCGGTAGCCGCCTACGACGTGCTGGTCGAAACTCGACCCAACGGCCGAGTCTTTGGCTTTCAAGTACCATGACCTAATTCTAGCCCCTAAACTTGTATGCGACAACGAGTTAGATACAACATATGTCCCGATTCCTGGTTGGTAGTAATGGTCTGCCTTTAGTTAGTCTAATGTTGAGAGCAGCTGTGCTTGAGAGAGCTTTATGCTTACACTGATCACCAGCTTCGCGGTCAAGACATCTGAAGATTTTCAAGATGTTACTGTCGCTATCGTCTCCTCTGAATTTGTTACCCGTACCATCGAAACACAGCACGAGTTTCCGTGGGGCGCGACGCGTTTCTCTTGGATTCATCGTAGATCGTGAAGTAGCATGCTCATGGAATTCGAAATCTTGGGCCGCTGTCGCACGCCTTTTTGAGTCTTCGCCATCCCGTAAGTGAAACGCTTCAGGTGCTAAGTGGTACTTGTCGGCGTGATACGTATCCATTTGCGAGAAGGATTTAGCGACACGGCAGAGCACTGCAGGATAATGTGCTACACACCAAGAGAAGATTCGTTATGTATTACGATAGAATCTTACCCACCGTCAATTGTCCGATCATGTTCGCAGAAATCCGCCCAGAGGCAAGGATTATACGCCACCATGACTGCACGACTTTTTGTGGTTTAGTCTTGGAAGGCTGAAGTTGAGTGATGTCTCAAAAAAAAGAGACTTCATGTCTCGGCGCAAAGATGATGTCGATCTCCATCTAAAACCATTGATGGAAATAAGAAATCATTCCTACCACGAGGGGTTGGAGTAAACTCCCCTCTCCCTTCCCTTGGACGATCATGCACGAAGAACCGCTACTTGAAAATCGTGACCTATCTGTACGTTGTGAAAAGCAACCTGCAGCAAATAATTGCGAGTCAGCTTAGCTGAATATGCAGCCATCCGATACCCCTGGGGATGATGATTCGTCGGGACGGAAAAAAGATGCTTGTTGTACTCGTAAGTCGCCTAAACGTAAGAGGCTTGACTGGAGTTGACGCGGATGGACGTTGATCACTTGGCCAGTTAACCTGGTTATGTTGCCCGTGGACACGGCCCGCACCGGCAACTGTACTCGGTGGAGTTTTCGTGGCGCACTATTCCCCGTTTCATTGGTTATACAAGGTGATATAATGTCAATCATTTCTAGTTAGAGACATTCAGCTATATTTGAAGAATCACTGGGGATACTAAAAACGTGGCTAGCTGTTTCGGTTGCTAATAACCACCCGACGATACGCCTTCGCAATTTTATAAAGACCATTTATTTTCCTTTTCAAATAAAAATAAGTTAAGACCAGAGAGTAGATGAAGAGTCTTAAATTAGCTCGACGATGGACTCCCGGAAATGCCGTAAAATTAAATATATTGAATGTCAGACATCAAACTGGCCAATGACCGTTAACGATCTTAAAGGGGGTTGTCGACACTATTACGCCAGTTCTATATGCTCAACATCGACGATCAATCACCACCAGACGACATCATCAGGCGGTGAATTGGTAATGGGAGCAATCACATAGAACTATCTTAAGTTACCCCGCTTGTTGTGTACACTATTGTCCCGGATACTGCTACTCTCTCGATGTGACGTGATCTGTCGTGTAAGGCCCGTATTGGTTCTAAAGCTAATCATACGCATTGCTTTCTAGAGCACATCCGATCCCTGTTGTATTCGTAGAGAGCTTAGGTAGAGTGTCCGATGCTTATACCTTTGAGACTGGAAGGGTTCTCCTAAACTATCCAGCGGACCGAGAGCTGGTAGCCGTGCTTTGTAATACTTGGTTGATATCTGGGCATGTTTAAAATGTGGCGCTGGGGCGCCTGCATTTTTAAATCGGGGGTAAACCTCTATCTTCCAGTGTTGATTTTTCCTAACTAAATCACAATGGTAAACGGGAAAATGGATGATGGGCTCAATGGGTCTAATGGAAACGGGGCTCGTCATGTCGATTCCAATAGCTTTACCACAATGAACAAGTCGTCGAAATCGTCATCTAGCTCTATTCATAGAGGGAAACAGGAGACCCCGCCGAGGGCCGACCGTGAAGGTGTCTCAGCCGTCTTTGCCCAATTTGGGCAATTGCTTCAGGCTTCACGACGACCTCTGCCTACCCAGAACGGCGATGGGACATATACCACCACAGTCCAGAGACCAGGATTTAGGAATGATTTAAAACATATCCGTATGAAAGGTATGTCCTCATTCGCCGACGGAGAAGCCCATGATGAGACTGACTAAGAAATATGTAGATGTGAGGACAATCGCGGATCTTGTTCGGAGCAAGCTCAAGGGGGAACAGGTTACCGATGACAAGACAATGATAATGGAACGCGTTATCCAACTCGTCGCTGGCCTACCCGATAAGTCTCGGCTTAGAGAGGAGTTGACCAATGTCTTCATAAATGAACTTTGGTACACGTTGGACCACCCGCCTCTACTGTACATGGGAGATAAACATCAATACAGGATGGCGGATGGATCGTGGAATAACCCGACAAACCCTCAACTTGGAGCAGCTGGATCTACGTATGCTCGAACTTGTCGCCCTGGCATTGTACCTCTGGGTGCTTTGCCTGACCCATCGCTTATCTTCGAATCAGTCATGAAGCGGACCGAATATCGCAAGCATCCGAACAATGTCTCCTCGATACTTTGGTACTGGGCGACCATCATCATTCACGACCTCTTCTGGACCGATCAGACAGACATAAGCAAAACTAAGACTTCCTCGTTCTTAGATCTTTCTCCGCTCTATGGTAGTAACGAAGAAATGCAAAAGACCATCCGAACTTTCAAAGATGGGATGATGAAGCCCGATACTTATGCCGACAAGCGGCTTCTTGGTTCCCCGCCAGGAGTAAGCGTCCTCTTAATCATGTTCAATCGTTTCCACAACTACGTGGCAGCAAACCTTGCTGCCATCAATGAGGGTGGCCGCTTTACGCCACCCGGCCCGGGTCTTAGCAAGGAGAAAGAAAAGGCCGCATGGGATAAATACGACAATGACCTTTTCCAAACTGCCCGGCTTGTGACTTCCGGATTATACATTAACATTACCCTCGTGGACTATGTGAGAAACATCATCAATCTCAACCGATCCAACACCACGTGGACTCTTGATCCTCGAGCAGATATGGGCCGTGACGCTGGAACTAATTCAGGGTCTGAGCGTGGTACTGGAAGTATGGTTTCCGCCGAGTTCAATCTTTGTTACAGGTGAGTGATATATATTTCCAAGTCTGAAAGATGCAATTAGTTAAATATTCGCAGGTGGCATTCATGCATCTCAGCCAAGGACGACCAATGGGTTCAAGATTTCTTCCGAGGGATATTCAACAAAGATCCACAGGAGCTGAGTGATCACGATATGTTCATGGGCTTCGCGAAATTCGAACGTGGTATCCCGGAAGACCCTGCTGAGAGAGTATTCGGCGGCTTCAAGCGTAACGCTAACGGCGCGTTCAATGACGATGACCTTGTTAACTGCATATGTGATTCCATAGAGGATTGCGCAGGGGCATTTGGTGGTCGCAATGTACCCCAGGCAATGAAGCCAGTCGAGATATTGGGTATCCTCCAAGGTCGGAAGTGGAACGTCGCGGGTCTGAACGAGTTCCGCAAACACTTCGGACTTAAGCCTTACGAGAGATTCGAAGACATCAATTCCGATCCTGAGATTTCCGGTTCGCTCCGAAATCTTTACGAACATCCGGATTATGTTGAGTTATACCCAGGGATCGTGGCTGAGGAGGCGAAGGAGCCAATGGTCCCCGGTGTTGGAATTGCCGTAAGTGACTTGCGATGCGATGGAAGTGAAACTACTAACCCCATCATTAGCCTACCTACACCATCTCCCGTGTCATCCTATCAGATGCCGTCTGCCTCACTAGAGGAGATCGTTTCTACACTACCGATTATCACCCGCGTGGCCTCACGTCTTGGGGATATAATGAAGTGGCGTATGATCTAAACGTCAACCAGGGCTGCGTGTTCTATAAGCTGTTCATCCGAGCTTTCCCTAACTACTTCAGGAGCGACTCAGTCTATGCTCATTACCCTATGGTCGGTAAGTACACACTCGCAGAAAAGGGGGCTAGTAATCATGGCGACTAACCGATCCATCTAGTTCCAAGCGAGACCAAGATGATCCTAACCAACCTTGGCCGAGTTCAGAACTTCAATTACGACCGTCCTTCATTTATCCATCCACAAGTTAACATCACAACCTACGAGGGCGCCCAATACATATTCGACAACCAAGACAAGTATAAAGCCATTTGGAATGAAGGATTTTCATTCCTAATGGGCGCCGGCCGTAACCCCTCTAAGCTTTCGGAAGACCCCGCCTTTCAGGCTAGACAGTGGGAGAGTATACAATATCAACTATACAAAGAGGATTGGAACTCGGACATCAAGACCTTCTACTCGCAGGTCACTGATAAGCTGATCAGAGAGAAAAGTTATAAGCTGGCCGGGCAAAATTTCGTTGACATTGTCCGAGATGTTGGGAACATTGGGCCGGTGCATTTCGCCTCGCGGGTATTCAATTTGCCACTCAAGACAGAAGAGAACCCAAGGGGTATTTATAGCGAACAAGAACTATACATGGTTCTCGCTATAATAGTTGTTTGCATCTCCTTTGATATCGACCCTGTCAAATCATTCCCGTTACGCCAGGCAGCAAAAGCTGTGGCGGGGCAATTGAGCAAACTAATTGAAGCAGATGTAAAGCTGGTAACGAGTTTCGGTGTTGGTAATTTGTTCGCTTCAAGGCCAAAGAAGAATGATCCGTTGGCAGCGTATGGTACTAATTTGATCAAGGGACTTTCCAAAGCTGGCATGAGCAATTACGATATCGCATCGAGTCAAATCATGCCGACCGCAGGCGCATCTGTAACAAGCATCGCGGAAGTGGTATGTTTCCTTATGCCTGACTCTTCATTCATCCTATAACTCACATTGTATAGTTTGCCCAAGCTGTGGACTACTTCTTATCACCAGAGGGATCCAAATACATCCCTGAGTTGTATCGCGTCGCGAATACCCCATCCACGGATGAAACAGACGCATTGATGCTCGGGTACTGTATGGAGGGCATCAGGCTCGCGGGAACTTTCGGTTTATACCGTGAAGTGGCAGTCGACGATACGATCGGGGAGAGCGATGGCCACCGAGTGCCCGTTAGATCTGGAAATCGCGTTTTTGTCAGCTCTGTAAGTGCGCCCTTAATTAACCCTTATCATATCCCTTAAGTTACTAACATTACTCGCAAAGATCGATGCGGCTAAGGATGCCAAACATTTCCCTGACCCCGAGAAAGTGAATCCGCGTCGTCCATTGGATGCTTACATCCATTTCGGGTTAGGACCTCACGCTTACTTTGGAGGTAATGCAAGTCAAGCTGGGTTAACAGAGATGTTCCGATCTGTTTTCAAGCTGAAGAATGTTCGGAGGGCTCCCGGTGCTCAAGGAGAGCTCAAGAAAGTGTCCGCACCTGGCCGTTCCTATTTGTACATGAGAGAGGATAGGGGAGCATACTTCCCGTTCCCTTGCACGATGACGATATGCTACGATAACTAAAATCAACGTTAGGTAAGCACGTTTTTAGAAAGCGTCGAGTTTCAGAGTGAGAAAGTGGGTTAAGGGTATGTTTTTTCTAGTGGAGGCCTTTTATTGACGCAACTTTAAAGTACCAAAAGCGGCACTAGGCGGATACGGGGATGCTGTACATAATGTAATTACACAGCCACCTAGCCTGTTTGATGGCGCCCCGTAGAGCAGAGCTGGCAAAAGGTTGCGGGATTTAAGCACTCACTGATTTATTAATTCTCAATTGATATTCATAATTGCACAAATACTTTATGCTAGTGAATGTGTTTAAATTATCCAAGACGGCATAAAAAAGCCACCCGTCTGACCATTAAGAGTTAATAAAAAGCAAATAGTCTTCAGTTTCTTATAAAGTTACCTGATTAGGAACGCCGAATTGTGGAACTGGGGCCAATCAGGACAAAGTAAACTGTAAAGTCGTAAAGTTTCGTACCTAAGTACCCCACGTGTAAGTAATGTCTATATGTAAATGTAAATGTATACCTCAGGTGGTAAAAATACATCATCACGCAGAAGAGATGCTTCATTCTGTATTTGAGCTTGCATACCCCACAGATCCCATCCAAAAATGGGGAGATAATGAGCTCCGTATATCAATGTCGACCCACATTTGGGAGGCCGCCCCTTATTTGATTACTCCAAGGTTCCCCTGCTCATGAAAAGCACCAACATTTCTCGCAGGCGTCGCGGACACGTGAGTGTGTACATTCTTAACTCGTTAGTGGTACTGCGATATATGTGTTACGACTAGCACCATGTTTTCCCATGACATCTCCGTCTTACCGCTTAAATCTCCTTGGAGCACGCCAGCCTGGGGAGCTGATTTACGAGCACCTGGTTTGGTAGCTTAGCAGAGCTTTACTAGATCCGGTGCGCGAATTTTCATGAAGCTCAAAGGATGATATTGTGAAAATGTCTATTTTCTCGAGCTCCTGGCGCCAAAAAGCCTGTTGTGGTTGCCGACATGTGATGCGGAGCTGAGCAGAGCGTCGAGTATGGATGATTAAGTTATACTGTGGGAAATATGTGAGGGTGGCTCACAATTGACAGTGCGACATCCTGTTTTGGTTGCTTTTCCAACAGCCTTTTACCACCAAAATCGGTGACCTGTGAACTCTCGATTAGACAGGCCTTGCCGAATATTATAAATTGTGGCATTCACTTCGCCTCATCATGACTTTTCTGCATCCGAATTAACTGCTGGCTACTCAGAAGGGTTATTTGGCAGACATTGAACTACAAGATTCACATATTTGTATTTACCCCTGAAATATGGACGAACCCGAATTAAAGCATGGCGTGAAATGGGACGATGAAGAGGCAGGCCAGCCTTCGCGTGGGCTTCGTCGTGCACATTCTAGTGGCTCAATGTCTATTCGAAGTGTGCATTCGCGACGTGAAGTTGACCCATCGATTATCCTCCCAATTCAATACCGTACCGTGTAAGTCATTACATTCCCGCCTAATAATACAAAACTAGGTTTCAATGCTAACGTCGAATTTTCATTCAGATCGTATCAAATCGAGGAATCTAAACAGCAAGATGTCGAGGCGCTATCGAAGGCGAAAGACACGGCTACCAAGGGTTGATAAGCTCGACCCGACATTTCCCTTCGTCCCCTTGCTCACATCATTGGCACAGAGCTATCTTCACTTGAATGGCACACAATTTCAACTGACGAGGCTCTTCGTCGTCTCAGCGCATCGATGGCCGAAGGGCTCTCAAACGAACAGGTTACACGAAGACTGAAGGAGTACGGCCGAAATGCTCCGTCGCCACCAAAGTCCGATACAATTCAAAAATTCTTTGGGTATTTCTTCAAGGGATTTGGCCCCGTACTCCTAGTCGGAGCTATTCTAGTTTTCGTCGCATGGAAACCACTTGGCCAGCCGCCATCTCTGGCTAATCTGGTGAGCAAGGTTAAATGGAATAAGCATGCGAACTCTCGTGATACTAACCAGAACTCCCCCCTTAGGCCCTAGGTATTGTCCTTGTTGCAGTGTTCTTCATCCAAGCTGCGTTCAATATGTTCCAAGACTGGAGTTCCTCACGAGTGATGAGTTCTATTAAAAGCATGCTTCCCGAAGATTCCATGGTCCTCCGAGATGGTGTACAGGCTTCTCTTGATGCACAGGATCTCGTCCCGGGAGATATCGTACTCATCAAAGCAGGCAATAAACTACCGGCTGACATGCGCTTCCTACAAGTCTCTAGCGATGCCAAGTTCGACAGATCTATCCTAACTGGAGAGTCCTTACCCCTTGCGGCGACGGTGAACTCAACTGATGACAACTACCTCGAAACCCGTTGCATTGGCTTGCAAGGTACTCACTGCGTCTCTGGATCCTGTGTGGGGTTGGTTGTGGCAACTGGCGACCGCACGGTATTCGGTCGCATCGCTGCTTTGACAAACGAGCCTAAATCCAAGATGACTACATTGGAAAAGGAGGTTCTATACTTCGTTATCATCATCTGCTCGATTATGCTTACTATGATAACTATCGTGTTGATTGTCTGGTGAGTTCGCTGCGGATGCCGCTTAGGCTAACGGGTGCTAACGGTGCGTAGGGGTGCATGGCTGAAAAAGGTCCATCCAGATTGGATCAACGTCCCGACACTGGTCGTCGACTGCGTTAGCGTAGCTATCGCTTTCATCCCCGAAGGTCTACCAATCGCGTTAACAGCCGGCTTGACCATCACCGCGAACCTGATGCGGAAGCATAAAGTTTTATGCAAGTCATTGAAGACAGTCGAGACCCTTGGTTCTGTCTCAGTGATCTGCTCAGACAAGACAGGAACTCTTACCGAGGTAAAGAACAAATCGATATCAACGTCAGTGTTCCATTGAGCCTAGACTAATTTTTCATTTAGAACCGAATGACTGTTACTGAATGTACTATTGGAACCCACACTATCACAATCGAAGGGGCTGAAGACGAACTGGAAGGGAGCACGGCCCCAGCCATCGCCGGCATGGTGACAACAGGTGTAGGCCAAGTACGAGCTATCGCTGGACTCTGCAACGCAGCTGAATTCGATGCCGCCACTATGGATTTACCTATTGAGCAGCGTCGTGTTTTTGGCGATGCGACCGATCAGGCTGTCTTAAGATTCTCTGAACGATTCGGATCCGTGCACCACATGCGCCAATGCTGGCAAAAGACGTACGAACTAGCGTTCAACAGTAAGAACAAATTCATGATTCGAACGTTTTCCCTGTTTAGAAAAGATTGTCTGAAAGCTACGTTGTCGGAGAGCGAAGCAGACAACTTCAATAAGGGCGATACGTAAGGCATCCGAGATAATCCCTATTATATTCTTGCTGATACTAACCTGTATTAGTCTATTAACCATTAAAGGGGCTCCCGATGTCCTAATCGGCCGATGTTCGTCGTTCGTTAATAATGCAGGAGATGTACACCCCTTTGATGAGGAAATGCGGGTAACATTTGAAAGAGTAAAAGACACATATAGCAGCCAAGGAAAACGATGTCTTTTACTTGCCCGCAAGGTCATACGGCAGGGTGAACTGCAGCATCAGTCCGGGACGAGTCAATTTGAAGACGAGATAATCGAACAGGCGAAATCAGACTTAACTCTAGTTGGCCTTGTAGCTATTGTCGATCCTCTGCGCCCGGAAATCCGTGAGGTGGTTTCTACATTGCGCGGTGCTGGCATAAGGGTGTTCATGGTAAGTGGCATTCGATATCTGCAATGAACATTCGTTGACAATTTTAAGGTAACTGGCGACTTTGCTCTTACTGCCCTTGCTATTGCTCAGGATGCCGGTATCATTAGCAATCCTACATCCTTAGTCGACAATGTTTCGTCGCTCCCCAGGGAGCAAGCAAGTAATGGTATCAAATGCACAGACGCTCCTTCGTCAATCCTCATTAGCGGACCGGAGTTACTGAGCTTAAACGAGAACCAGTGGAAGGCTCTGACGGAGTATGACGAAATTGTTTTCGCTCGGACTACACCGGAGCAAAAGTTACGTATCGTGAGGGAGTTTCAGACCAATGGGGTTGTAGCAATGACAGGCGATGGCGTGAATGATGCGCCATCTTTAAAAGCCGCTGATGTTGGTATTGCTCTTGGGAGTGGATCCGACATTGCGATCGAAGCCGCGGATATGGTGCTTCTCGACTCTTTCTCTTCCGTCGTTGAAGCGGTTCAATACGGTCGCGTGGTATTCGATAATCTGAAGAAAGTCATCTGCTACCTCTTACCCGCCGGTAGCTTCGCTGAATTCTGGCCTGTCATGACGAACGTCGTATTCGGACTTCCCCAAATCCTCTCATCTTTTCTCATGATTATCATTTGGTGGGTGCTCCGGTAATCTAGGCAAGATCGTGTGTATAACAACTTACCTTTTTTGTAGTTGCTTCACTGACTGCGCTGCCGCAACGGTACTCTCGTACGAAAAACCGGAGGCTGACGTCTTGCTGCGAAAACCACGAAACGTTAAGAAGGACCGTTTGGTTAATTGGCAACTCATTATTCATGCCTACGGTGTTCTCGGAATGATCGAAACTATCGCTTCTTTCGCGATGGCTTATTGGTATCTAGAGAAGAATGGTATACCCTTTCGTGTGTTATGGTTCTCTTTCGGGAACCTCCCGGATTGGATTGACCCAGACTACTATGCCACCAAATTAAATGAAGCTTCTTCTATTTACTTCGTCAATCTAGTCGTCATGTAAGCCAAGAAACCTGTATCGCCTTAATTGAAGTCGATTAACATGTTTTAGGCAATGGTTCAATTTGCTCGCCGTTCGTACGCGACGATGGAGCATATTTCAGCATCCTCCCGCCTTCAACAAGACCACTCAAAACCTTTATCTTTTCCCAGCGATCGCATTCGCCCTGTCCATGGCCGTTCTCTGGCTGTATATTCCACAGCTCCAGTCGGTTTTGGGCACATCCCCGGTCCCTGTGGAACATTGGTTCTTGCCTTTTGCTTTTGGCCTGTTCATTATGTTATTTGACGAAGGGCGCAAATTTCTCGTGCGAAGATATCCTAACGGAATAGCCGCAAAATTAGCCTGGTAACCCATAATTTCTTAGAGCTCTGCTGTCGCCCTTGATCTGGCAGGCGAGGGCGTTGCGAGGAGCATGTTATCCACCCGGGTACCGCAAAAGCGGTATGCAGGCTGGGTAAAAAAACGCCTATCCAGATTATGTCTTAAATATCTAGGTACCAATCCAGGCATACTTCGCTACACCAACTTCTCAATGTGCTGAGACATTACCCAAGAGAATAAAGTCCATGCAGGCATGTGCAGAAAGAAGCAGGCTGTGCCGATTAAGTGTGGCTGGACTGCGGTGCGACCTCTATACAGCTGATCATCCTACCTAATACACACGATAATAAAAGTTTTTCTGAAATGGATCCCAAAAAGTCGAGTTTCTTGATCCAATTCTTTTGTATAATACTTCGATATTCCATTGACACAGTATTCCCTACCCAATGGCTTCGCATGCAACCAGCACTATTCAGGATATTTTTGTGAAGGCCAAATCCGAGTTCCTGGGTGAATTAAAGGACAAGAAAAATAAATCCGAACTTCAGAAGGCATGTACAGTTGATGACATCTGGGCTTATACAGCCAAGCTCCAGGTAGAACAGGGACACGAGCGACGCCTTCGTGGACTCCAAAAGATCCAACCGTATCTCGAGCGGCTTCAAGAATACGCTGGTGTTATTGAAGTGTTCGTTCAAGTCAAACCCGATATCTTGGCGCTCATTTGGGGGTCAATAAAAATCCTTCTTCAATCGTCGAGCAATGTCACAAAGTGTTTCGATGCTATTTTGGACGTGATGAAATGCCTTGGACCCGCCCTCCCTACTTTTAATAAATTTACACCGCTATTAAACGCCAACGAACGTATTGGCTATGTACTCGGCCTTTTCTTTAAAGATATTCTCGATTTTTATTTGACGGCCTTAAATTTCTTCAGCTTGAAAGGTAATTCAATACAGGGAATTGAATAGAAGGCTATGCTAATATGATCAGGCTGGCAAGTTGCGTTCGAAGGTCTATGGCCTATCCGCAGATCCAGGATTGATATTATTTCTAAGAATATCGAGAAGCATCGACTTCTCCTATATAATGGAATTTCAATCGGCGATGTTCTGGAAGCTCACGAGGCGCGACAGAGGGCATATGCGTAATACGAAAGAGATTTTGAATTTCAACAGAACCAAACTTTCCAATCAATCGAGACATGCGTGGATCCCCCGTCATATGATATTCTCGATTCCTTACGGTCCTTAAGATGTGAGGGAACAGGAACTTGGCTTCGACGAGACGCAGGCTTTTGCAAGTGGCTAGATTCAACAGAAACATCGGCGAATATCATCTGGATTCAAGGGATCCCAGGGGCCGGTCAGTCAAACCTATCTGATATTTATATCTGTCTACTCTTTAGGTCTAACTTGAATGTAGGAAAATCGTGCTTAGCATCTATGGTTATCGACGAACTAAAGAATAAAGGTCAAGGCAATTGCCTTTTTTGCTTTTCTCAACTATAAGCGTGATACCGATTTACCACGTCATATTTTCCAATCCCTTCTATTCCAATTGGCTTCCCGGAAAGGGGACTTAAAAGCCGTGCTATGTAACAAGATCATGCCCGAGGGAAACGACATGAGCCGTGAATTGAAGGGAAACCTGGACCTCACTCTTCATACCCTTTCAATGTTGCTGCAATGCGCTGGAAAGACATACATTGTCATTGACGGTTTGGACGAAATCAAGGGGTCCACGCAACAGATTTTTCTGGATCGACTAATTAGATTAGTCGAAGAGTGCGAGGATACCAAGCTTCTCCTGGTGAGTAGAAAAGGACATGTCCTTAACAGAGCTCTTCAAGACGTCTCTACCATTATAAATGTGGAACAGAATAATACCGGATGCATACGTTCTTACGTGAAGCATTGGTCTAAAGAATGGTTCGATCGCGCTGGATTCGACGATGAAGCCTGCATTGGGATCCGAAAGATGTTATTCCCAATACCGATGAAAGCTAAGGGTAAGCTATACGGAACTTTTATGACGGATGCCAAGAATCTTTCAGGTATGTTCCTCTATGCTAGGCTCGTTTTAGAGAACATCGAAGCATTGCGAGATATCGAGACAATCCAAGAAGAACTCCGTGTTCTTCCCGAGACACTCGACGAGATGTAAGATACTCATCCTAAATGTAAATCGCTGTACTAAATGCCGTACTTTTCAGTTATGGGCGTGTTATCCAACGGATATTCAACCCATTGATTTCTTCTTCGGGGCTTGCGAAAAGGATACTATCATGGGTTGCTTGCTCTTCTGTTCCCCTAACACGCCAAGAGATGGAGCAAGCATTACTCATAAAACCTCATTCTAGAACAGTTCCAAATGTAGCAGCGCCGCTAAATTATCTACAGCTCTGCGGGCCCCTAATTGACACGCACCATGGGGATAAGTTACAGCTCGTCCATTTCACAGTGAAAGAGTATGCGAGTATTTTCATACCTACCTAGGGGGTTATATTCAATGTGAGACCTAACTCTGACTTGTACTTCAGGTATATTATGAACCGGAACAGACCATTTATTAATGAAGAGGGGGCCATTTTAGATATCGCTAAGACGTATATCAATTATCTATGCTGTGATAACTTTGATCCATTCGCCGACGACGACGAAGTTCAGGAATACCTCCGAGTTGGTGTTTATCGCCTATTTCGTTTGGCAGAGTCTCAATGGGCGGAAAGCATGAAACAGTTGGCAAGATGCAGCAGGAGAGAGATACCCCAGGAGCTACTCGAACTCCTTCAACAATTCCTTGTCATCCGCAGCAATGTGAGGTATGCCGAAAGCACAGAAAGCAAGCCAAATATTTGGGGTCTTGACTCGCTCAAAGAGACGCCCGAGATTCAGAAATTACTGTCACAATTTCTCGCCCATCAATTATGGCAAAAGGGGGCAGATAACTGTCGATTAGACGAGGGTATGAGATTTATCCATTAGAGCATCCACCTACAAGAGTTCGATACTAATTCTTAGTTTAGAGGCAGACAATGCATGGGTTGACCAAGATCCAACCACTCTTTCGATTACAGCCTTGCAAATCCACCAGAATCTCGAGGGCCTAATCTGCCCGGACGGTGGGCACAAACAAGACTGCCATTGCTCATCATTGAAGAAGCACTATGGTCCCCGTCTTTTCAAGTGCAGCTATGTAGCATGCCGATTTCGTTCCATAGGGTTCGAACAACGGTCAACGCGCGATCGGCACATCAAACATCACAGCCGCCCTTTTAAATGTCCGGTTCAAACATGCGAATACTTTTTCATTGGGTTTCTTTCGCAGGCACAATGTGACCAGCACTATAACCATTTACATAAGGCATCAGCAACCATTAACGACACAGATTCTCTTTACGAAGATTTTAGGGAGGACGAACTTGAACGAGTTTCGCTTGATTTCGTCGATTGCGACGATATTGAAGAGATGAAACGACTTATGCATGTAATTGAATACTCCCCTCGCAAGGACACCATTCTACGACATACGGGGGAGTTGGTTGCCCATTCAGGGTCCCTAGAAATGGCTAAAATCGTGTTTATGAAGGCTAGGAAATACGAATTGCACCCATATTTGGAGAAGTCCATCGAGGGAGGGAACCTCCCCGTTTTCGCATGGCTCTGCGAGCCAATAGACGAACACTATTCTACAAAGATCACGATGGACGCCATTGCTTCGGGCTCTTTAGAAATATTTGATATATGGAAGGATTTCCTCATAAGGACCAATCAAACCTATAGGGCTTTAGAGAATGAATCTATACCAAGGAAGCTGGCTCCCGATGTCGAAGTCAGGCTTGCAGAGTTTTGGAAGGAGCAACACGTATTAGGTAAATTGCGTAATTCCAATGGAAGACTATCAGGTTACAAAGGACGACTAAACGAAAGATTGGTGGAAGCCGGGAAATACGCATGCTCACCACAACTTGCAGAAACACTGCTTCAACTCGGAGCAAACCCCAATTATAAAAAAGAAGATAGGGGACAGAAAACAAAGCAAACTCCTCTAATTTATGCTTCATTAAAAATGACTAAAGCAGCCGTCGATACGATAAAGGTTCTCTTGTTAGGAGGGGCAGACCCGCATCACGAGAGAAAAATTACATTTGGTTCACGTAAAGGTACAGTGCAGAGAGCTGCAGACGGCGCTGGGGCCAAAGGCATTTCAAAGTGGTTGAGCATGGCGTGGGATGAATTAGTTCAGTGGGCGAAGGAGGAAAGGGAGAAGGGAAGGGGAATCTATAAGAATGAGGATTTCATAGAGGACGACTCAAAGACGGAGACTTAAGTTCGACCGTGCTTATAGAGATGACTCGACAACTATCCACAAAAGAGTGATATGCCTATCTCTCTCGGTAGATATATAACTCTTTTGTTCCTAGTATTCTATATCCTACATCCAGCTGCAGAGGTACTGGGTTCACTCTAAGTAATTCAACAGATGCTTCATAGTCATAATATTAGTAACCTTTACAGTGTGCTTTGAAGAGTTGGAAGAGACGAACCTTCTTCCAATCCAGTCTTATCTCATCAGCGGTAGCGCCTCCTCCTCCAAGGGACTTATTAACGAGCTGGAGCTTTTTTTCTTTGACATCCTGGACGTACTAAATCAACGAGTTGATTAGTTCGATCACCTTGTTCTATATAGGTACGCATAATACTCCATATACCTGAACAGAGAAGAGAGATTACTTACGCCCTCAATAGAATAGGGAACGATGTATCGAGTTGCTACCACATCTCGCCTTTGGCCCATTCGATGGACTCGGTCTAGAGCCTGGGCTTCTAGCATTGGATTCCAGTGAGGCTCCATAAGATGAATATAATTAGCCGCAGTAAGATCGACCCTAGCATCCTGGTTAGATTCTGAATGAGTGATGAATAGATATCTTACCCCTCACTAACACTTCCTATGGTAGCGATCATAACTGTACAGTTACCGACTTCGTCAAATTCGGATAGAGCGGATGCCCTTTGCGAGGAAGACTTCTGCCCATCTACCCTCGTAAAGGAGAAGCCGCTTTGAAGGAGTGCATTCTCGAGAAGGTCTAGCATCCGTGTCCAGAACGTGAAAACAACACTTGAGGCCATCAGCACAGCATCGAATACTACTAGGGAGTAAACGAACCTCTTCACGGGTTTTTCATTCGTGCCAATTGAGTTTAGTCTTTGCTCTTCACGTAGGTTGGCGATAAGTGCTTTGACTTTAGCCGAAGGCTCATAAGTTGAGCCCTGCAACATCATATCTGTCCCTGACTGCGTTTCGGTACAGATCGGGCATGCAATCTGATGAGCGGATGATGTTTTCCCATCGTCTGCGTTAGTACATGAATTACATAGGACATGAATACATCCAAATTCAGAAAAGACCCCATCTGAGGATACTTCAATATTACAAGAATCGCAATTGGTCAATCCGTTCTCGATTCTGCCTTGAAAGTTTTCCGAGACGAATTGCTGACTCCAAGCCTGCTGCATCCTTAATGGAACAAGGCTTTCGCCATGGTTACAAATCAGACGCAACGTGTTGATAAGCGGAAGAATATGTCCGGATGGGTGCGAGCTTCCTGTGCTGTTATCCGAGAAAGCCCCAGATACAAAGCTGGATATTTTGGACCTGAAGAATTCGTAGAGTTCTCGATCTTTCTGGTCTAGTGACACAAGATGTTCCTTCTCAATCCTCGGTGGTATTTTGAGCTCATCCCAAATGCTGGTTTTTGTCCTTTGGAGACAGGATGATGCCACAAGCCGGCGGAGCCGCCTGAGCCCCTCTGGTTGTTCGTTTCGGAGCGGTCCGGCGATCCAATAGTCAAACATTGGCTTGTCACCAAACGGAGTACTGCCAATGAATGTTAAGAGGGACCCGTAATCGTCGAGCCGATTCTAGATTGGAGTTCCTGTCAAGCACCATCTTCGCTTAGCGGGTATAGCACACATGGATTGAAAAATCTTATTCGATCGATCCCTAATGTGGTGTGCTATGACCTCGTCAATTCCATAACGCATCATTATCTGAAGAATCATCTCACCTTCATCAAGTACAATTCGGGCCCATTCCCTCGACAGCAAGGGATTCGGTGTGGAATTGGATTTCCATTCGGATAAAACAGTGCCGTATGTTGTTAGGACGATGTCGGATTCATGGAGCGACGGTGACAGTTGATTTCTAGACGATCCATAATAGAGTCTCCCGAATACTTCCAGGACGGAGATGCCTTAGCCATGTTAGTATATCAGCAAGAGAAATGACATGAGAACGTACGTAGAAATTTGCTTTTGCCATGAGGTGATTGCTAACGTGTGATTAGCTATTGCCAAGAAATGCCATTGCGGTAAGGGATAATAGGGGCTGGCTAATTACTCGATTTTGGGCAAACGACCAGAGTCGTACACGATAATTCAGAATTGAAATACGCTGAGTTGTCTAAGGATGTCACAATTAGAGACAGCATGCTTAATATTTTGCCAAGCCCCATATCCTAATGACAGTTAGATCTGATAACTACCAGGATAAGTTTGGCACTTACATCAGCTAGTATTCCCCCTAGGGCTGATCTCGGACGAGTCCTTTGCGGCTTTCCAGTAATCGTGTCGTAGTATCTACCAGACATGTAAGCGCCTATGTCCTCAGGGCCTCTACGTTTAAAAATACGTACGTTCGACTTCCGTTGGAGTCGGTCAATAGTTCCCACTGAGTACTAAAGCACGCGTTTTCCACGGCACCGTGTTCCTTCTCCAGCATCATCGCAAGAGCTTTCTTTTGATGCCTTCCACAAACATTAACTAATGTACCGAGAAATAATATAAAAACTAACTCTTTGAGTGGTGTACATAACCGACCACTAGATTTGACTTCATACAAGATATTTGGGTCGTCGGCGGAATCAAATACTCGTAATAGTTGGCTCTTTGTACTGTCTCCTAATATGTCGTTTGTCGCTCCCGATTTTGATAAAGCACAGGAAGATACATTGTCGAGTCTTGGCATTTGCGCCCCAGGGCGAAGCAAATATTGAGGGTTGATGTATTCAAAACTATGATCATATTCAGTAGGATGCTGAAGATATAGTTCGTGGTCTTCTAGGTGCGTCCCGATACCGTCGAGGTCTGCACGTGTGCCATATAAGACAATGCGAACCTGCGCTACCTCCGATTTAAACGAGACACTTGGCTGCTTGGGCTTTTTCCCCTTACTCGGAGTAAATATTAGAGTAGCACTAAGAGTAACGGTGAATTTTTGAGTAAGGGAACTCAAAGCGAGAGACTTAATAAGACCGACATATTTCTTTGGATCGTCTGTGTAAAGCTTTATGTAGTCTCGGGAGAAACAGAGGTCAACTGGAATTCGCATATTGTCTTTGCCGTGCTCGAAGCGAGAGGATGCCTCCAAATGCACCTAAACACTTCATAAGTCATGAAAAAGGGTGGGAACTTCAAGGATCTCATAGCATACCTCACCAAAACAACACTCCAATGCATTCTCGCTCTCGGGGGTGTTTCTCGTCTGTGGTGTTATATTACTATTCTCGTCGGCGCGATAGTCGGGGTCTTCATCCAACAATCGAAGATCGTCAGCAGCCCATTTCCTGTATATTGAAGACCTTCTTGATTAAAACCCTCCTCTAGTGGGGTACTCCAGGTAGACACTGAGCCAGCAGCTTCTTGCTGAAGATCGGTATAGTTGGTACTCAGAAATGAAGCGCTAGGGCTCCAACCACCAGGTTGTGTATCGTTTAGCTGTGCGAGTGCTATTGGTTCGGGTATAAGCGGCACCAGTTGACTTTGGGCATCGAATACCTCTGTATCCTGTTTAAATGGCTCCGGGTGATAGATAGTCTCTTGGACGTATTGAGGTTGGGAGGTTATATTGACGGGCGTCTCCCATAACTCTTCTGGTTGTTCCGGAAATTGAATTGACGGGAGGTGCCCAAGTTCCGCGCCAGGATAGTCTAGTCGCCGTCTTTTAGGTGGATTTTCAGCCATTATTTGACGACTAGAGCCTCGTAGAGGACGATATGATACGATAAAGGCACCTCAAAAGCTCCTCCACCCAGATAATTCATCTATGGTAATTTACTTTCCCGAGGTGTTTTAGATAAGAAAATGCTTGAAATATTTTATGAGGATACGGAACAGAAAGTCTACTAGGTATTCTGTTGGTGTGTATATCATCAATTATGCCTTGCGTCCATAATTAGGTACCTAACCTAAGCCTTAGTTTCACAGCTGACAGAGGCTCTAGGTATAGCCCACGGTGGCTTATTGCTGTTTGAACTCACCAATTGAGCCAATCGTTTATGTACATGCCTGGGCTGTGTTGCATACCGTCTATCATACCACCAATTACAGCATCCGAGGTCTATATGAGTGTACCTAGGTATGTATGTACCATATTTACAGCTTCTATGAGCTTGATCATAGGAGTGTGAAGAGGCCTTCAAACAATCCCGTTGAGAACACTCACCAAAATAACGGTCTGGAAACACATAGGAATCCACTAATACGGGTATGTAGTATTACTAAGGACTCTATTCTGTTTTATTTAATCCCTTTTGGCTCCTACTATTGTAATTCTACATACCGCTGTGGCGCCGGGAGTTCCCATCGTCCCCCACTGCCAGGTACCTCGCACGGTCGGGTTTCCGGGTTATCCAGCTCATGTCGCACGTTATTAACTGCTTCCAGCTCTGGTTTCTGCCAATCATTTTCTGGAATTATTATTGGGTCCTTTTCGACTTTGGCACGTTTTCTTTTAAACCATACTAACATGCCAACTATCGCAGCAATTACAACTACGGCCGCGGCAATGGCAATGCCCGCAATGCCGCCTTGGGTTAATCCACCGACTTCATTACTAAGAACAGGTGTGGTAGTGGAGTCTGGGGTGTTCGATAACTTGGGATCTGAACTACTTGTGTCTCTGGGCATCGTCTGGCTGAATATGGTTTCTAGGTCTTGAGAATCCCAGCCGGTAGAGGGAGCCTTGAGAGTCGCGCCGCCAGAAGATCTACAGTGTATTAGTCGCCTCATCACATAGGATTCGGAATGGCGAATACTCACTTTCCGCCTATTATTGCCGTGACGGTGTCAGGTACTGAATACTGTCGGCTAGGATCGAAATTAGTCCGCCATGTATATGTCGAAGTGTCTAGCACTTTAAACGGCGGATAGGTCTTGTTGCACTCTTCGTTCAGATTGACGATACCACCCGTACCGAGTGATATCATACCCCCAGACACGATAAGTTGCGTTTCATTCCACACATCGCACTTAAGCCGATTTCGACCAGGCGAATCAGAACCTAGTAAGTCCGGGTTATTGGAATCGTCAACCTTGATCCAGCGAAAAGCAGGGATGCTCAACACATAAACGTCGTTAAAAGCGCGTCCGCGTAGTTGGTCCCAGCCCCCATGTATAGTCACCTGGAAGCTAGAATCGTCAGGCGCAGCCGAAACGCCAGCGCAGAATTCCGTACGAAGACTAGGGAGGTCGCCAGTGGCTTGCTGAAGGTACCATGTGTTCGAGAATATATCGTAAACGAAGATATCGCTGAAAGGTCGCCTATCCCAGTCCCATGCAGCGAACTCGGTACCGCGATAGGCTGTCTGGTATCCACCGAAGGCGAGAAGCACGCCCGATTGACCTTTTCGTAGATATACCACTACTTCCGAGTTAGCATGTTCGCTTCGAGAGGCTCTTCATGCAATAGAAGAGTGGCTATTACGTACTAGCACCCTTGAGGATATCCGGACCCTGGATACCAGCCGTAGCAGTCTCAAAGCTCCATTGTGGCGTATCCGAATTGAAAGATTGGAACTTGACGGTACCATTGTGTGTGCCATTATATGCCATAGTCCAACCGCCGGTGTAAAAAGACATACCGGAACTGGTGTCGCTGGCATGAACACCCTCGCTGTTATTACCGAACGAGATCTTCCCACCTTGGATTTGGACCAATTTCCATGTGTCGTCTGTCGTGTTAAAAGACCACAGCGCATTATTCACACCATCGGCTTCAGGCCCGACCATTCCAGCATAGGCATATAGAGATGTCCGATCATAAAAGAAGGTACCAGCAGAACCACCACTGACAGGGCTCTTACCGCCGGTGAGAGCATCACTCGGTAGGTCAGATGAACCAAGTAAAGACATGTCAATAGGCCCCGAAACATCTATCTCGTTATTAAGGCTGAGCCAATAAAGTGACGATGTATTATGAAGCGTCTTTCCATCGTCGTCGAAGGTGTAATTACCACTTGAAAAGAATAAACGGTCACCAACAATGGCAGCTGTCGTCGAAGACGTTTCCTGATATCAGTCCATGTACAGCCCTAAGAAAACGGGTTATAGGAAGATCGTGATCCGACTTACATCTCTGATCTACAATACTACAAATGGAACGAGCGTAGCAGATTCGGACTAAGTAAAAACTGATAAAGTAACAAAACAGACGGATGGTCACATATGACCTAAAATGGTGAGCCATGGCTTCAGGTACCCCTCCAAAGACTAGAGGGAGGGGGAAGACCCAATGTGAGACAAAATGGAATTAATTGGTAAATAAATATAAAAAGCAAGATTCATCACCGTAGGGCGGCTACCAGGATTAGGCGCCCGGTACATGTGGCCTGCATTCAGCTGAGATGTAACGACCCCTGAATGTAACGCATTAATATTATCTAAAAGGGGCATCCTTAGGATATATACTTCTAGACGGATACATGTAGATATTACCATGCATTAAAGCAAGTTTATACAGATAATTAAATGCGCTTCTCACATCCGGACCACCAGTTTCTTGCCCTTCAAGTTTCCTCTCTTTAACATCTCCAAACCCCCTTGAACTGAGTGTAAGCCTCCATCTATCAGGTGTAACTCAGGTAAAACGATTTTTCCCTCCTCTAACAGCTTTCCAAGCTCTTCAGTATAACGGACGTTGCTCTTATCAAGGACGAATTGCTTCATTTCGACAGTATGTACCACAACATTGTCCGGTACTATTTGAGAGCTTGACATCATGGCTAATGGTGCAAAAGCCACGGGCTCCTCTTTCGAAACGGAATTTAATGCCAAAGCTGCCGTATTAGGCCCCACTAAGTCGATTGCCCGCGTAATCCTACCGCTAGTTACGGATTGGATCTCGGCTACTACTTGCTCATCTGTCTTCCCGTCCCGCACAACAACGTGACTCGCACCTAACCGCTCCGACAACGCTCTCGTCTCGGTTGAGTTGACTGTTATCACTTTAATCCCACTCAAATTCGCAATTTGTGTAGCGAATTGCCCTGTTACGGTAGAGCCACCCCATATTAGAAGCCATTGTTCTTCAGCGTCGTCTGTGGCAGACTCCGGGTTTGGTACGCCTAGCCATTTCCATAACGTCATAGATGCTGTTAATGCTGCAACTCCCAGACTTGCAGCAGCCTCAAAAGGGACTCTCGATGGGACATGCAGGACCGTATGTGATGGTACGACGACGTATTCCTGGAAGCAGCCAGCCCGAACATCCTTATAGTACGTGCTTGTCCACACTGTGTCACCTTCTTTAAATGTTGTAACACCCGACCCAACTTGAGCTACTACTCCGGACATTTCGCGGCCGGTAACCTAGAAAGTTCTGTGAGTCTTGTCCTACATTCCTACATTGGGTATAAGTGTCAAGACGTACCCAAGGAAAGTCCGGCAAACAGAAGTTATAATCCACGGATTTCCAGTCAATGGGATTTAGGCCGACATAATGGCTCCGAATCATAATCTCATCGTCTCCGACCGTTGGCATAGGAAAGTCATGTCGAATCTCGTATTCGCCTTTGCGAGCGACGACGAGGGCCTTTTGTACCCTGGGCTCCGATAATTCGGCGACCGAAACATTGGCTGAGTCGTCCGTTGTTGTTGTCGGTGTCGAACCTTTATGTATGCCCTGTATTACCTTCGAGTATGATCTCTCACTTGATCCCGATTTTGTTCTTATCCTCCTCAAGATTGTACGAACTGTTTTCCATGAGTTCCTGCTAACAATGGTGTGCCTAGGCCGTACCTCCTCCATGGTAACCACAGTGTTAAATTTACTATACTAGAATTCTTTGTCTCGGGTTTCCGGCGTTTCGGGATATCACTTCTATCGTGTCAATGGAAGGAGTATGACTTTGCTATGTTGATGGTGTATCTATTGATCTACGAAGGTTGTAAATGTTTTACGTCTCCTTAAAACCCCCAAGATATCGGATTCAACGGTCTGTTTGCTAATCTAGCTAGAAAACGATGATAAATCAATGGCATCCCGATATGGACCAATGTGATGAATTTGTTGTCGCACGCCATCAGCACGCCATCGACTAGGGTAACCTGCTTACATATGTTCATCGCTGGGGATCTGTCGGTCGGAGTATAACGCCTTTCCGATTCGGCCTTGTGAGGGTTTTACGATAAAAGGGTAGCTTGGATGCTGCATGAGTGTTATAATGCCAATAGCAGTTACTGATTCGAAACTAATCTCCGAATCCGATGCCGTGGACTTGCCTCGGATGGCGATGATTACTCAACTACCATTCCTCTCGCTGGCTTTAGAGCGTAGGAAGAAAGTACATCAACCAATGATATGGACACAGGGCATCCCCTTTCTTCTCTTTTGTCTTATTGTTTTTTTTTTTTTTTCTATTTTAATCAGATCCAGATTCGAATCTTGATGGAATAAGAAATGTAACCCCCATATTATAGCCAAGCCCATCCCACTTTCATTTTATTAATGATCGTTTTAATATTAGAATCGTCTATTATAAATTGTTACAGACGGTCAGGAAATGGAGTGAATAGTGTTGAGTCTCCTAACAATTAACAATGTAGGTGTTGATGAAGGAAATATGAAATTATATGTACCTTTCATAATGGGGATGTGTGGGATTATGAAAAAGAGTATAAACTTATGAAATTGTATCGGATTATACAATATCGTCATAATAAGATATACATGCTTATCGATAAGTACATCAAACGTCGGCGACTTTTAAACTCGAAATAAAATAAAAATCAATTATAAATGCTCTCACCCATCTACAATAAATTAATAAGACCAAGTTACATCTAACTATGACGACATTTCTGACTCCTGAAGAGCTTGAGTCACCGAACCATGGTCCGAAGGAATCAGTCAAGTATCGTACATCTTGTGATCGTTGTCAAAACATCAAACTCCGATGCAGCCAGGAGAAACCAGCGTGCAAGCGATGTGCCAAAAAGGGTCTTCGGTGCATCTATAGCCCTCTGAGGCGTATGGGTAGACCTAGAAAAGCAGGTCAGGCCGCTCCAATAATTGCCGGATTGGATGAGAATTCTGTAACATCTGAGACTTCCGCTTCTATCACCCAAAGCAGTAATCTCAGCGATAGCCGCCAGGAACGTGCCCATACCAACCTCTCGGATACTTTATCCCAGCCTACAGACTATGTTTCACCGGCTGACGGCAGAAGCGGTCAGCAACGCCACGTTTTGGAGCCTTGGTCCTCGGAGACAAATTTAAGGAATACTCATAAATTTGTCAGCGAGTCTATTACTGGGGGTGTCTCGAATTCCACGGATTGTTATACGGCGATCATAACGCGAACAGCCAAATTAGAACAGTCTTTAATTGACGCGCCACGTCCACCACCCATTGATCTTGTACTAGAAGCAGAACGCGACCTCAGGACGCTAATGCAATGCGTTTCCACCTGTAACGGCCACGAATATAATGGGCGGCAATGTCTTGTCTCCGATAGGCCAGTCCTCCTCAGCCTTTCCCTATTAACTGAACGTATCGTCACCATGCTTGAAGAGACATTCCGTTTTGCTGCCGCTACGGCCAATACAGAAAACGGATCAATCCAAGATCCATGCCGGGATTTGGTTTCAACCGTAGCTACTCGTCGCATAGAACGTGCTTTTCGTGGCTTGCTTGATCAACCGTGCGTATTTCCTATCCCGGCGGGAAATTTAGACCTACGGGTTGGTAATTATGTAGTAGACAAGCCAGTCAAGGCACGGGCGATAAAGGGCATCTTGCAAGTACGAATGCGAAAACTCCTAAGGACGCTGGAAGATATGAAAACTATACCACGGGCTGAAGATAGGAGAGATTCTCTTATCGGCCCGTTGAACTGGGGCAATAGTGCTTCAGTGATAGAAGACGCTGCCCAGCGCATAGTACAGGACTTGATCAGGCGGATGGAGGCCTTGGAAGGCGGAATGGCATTAATGAGATAACTCATGTTACCGTGCTGCACAGGGATCGAGCGATGGACCAATAATATAAGAACGGCCCGTCACCGATTCCTCGATTTGCAGGTTTGAAGTAGTACAATATCTGCAGTATCACACGAGATGCCCCCAGCAATTCATGGTTCTTCCCGGAGTAAGTCTAGGTAAGTACTTGAATTTTTATTAACACATTCATATCGGTTTACTGACTTTCCCTAACAGGCGAAACGACCATCCGATAAGCTCTTTGATTTCTTTGTCTTGCAGCGGACACTGAACCGCATTCGAGGCTTCATCCGGGTTGTGTCGATAAGTCTCCTCTTCAAGATCCTGGAGCATAGCGCCGAGCCTGATAATGGAATGTCTCAGAGCTTCCCGGCTAACTATGGCAACTTCTTCTTCATCGTCAAGTTCAAGTTCGCCGATGGATATCGATGTCGCACTGTGACTCGGCGTTTCGTCATGGTACGGTATGTTCCGGGTCGCACCACCATCAACGCCCTGCCGTGTGCCCAATTCTGCAGTACCTCTAGTTTCCGATGGTTTTCTTTTTAGTACATCATCAACGGCCTTTTCGTATAGCGACATGACGCGACTAATAGCATCAGCCATGATGCGAAAAGCCAAAGGCCCAAGATGAGCTTCGGAACTGGCGCATCCATTCAGATATTCCCAATGTTGCACAAGTTTCCGCCCGAGCGAAAGTACATCACCTAGCGGCATAGTCGGTGCGGAAGATGAATTCAAGGACCGGAAAGGTCCTTCCACTTCACTACCAATGCGGATTGTCGCAGCCCAGCAGCCACAATGCCAACCTCCTCCTTGAGATACTGACATCGCGAGGTTTTTATTCGCTCGATTGAAGCCTACACTTGTTTTTTATTTGAGTAGTTTCAGCTGGTCAATTTATCAGGATTCTCATTGTGACATTGGTTTTATGGACGGAAGAGGAACCAACACTTAGGTCAACTAACTTGGATTTCCGGTTCTCATTTCGCTGGTCACTCCACCACAATAGCCAATCTGATTGGCTAAAAAGGCAGGGATGTCTTCCCTTACAATTACAAGACTGCAGCTTAACTCTGCGGCATGTTAGTCCGGGCCTTGGATGTAAGCAGGTATGTACCAAATATCCCCATCCTTTGAAAAGACAATACCTAACAGGCATTCCGTCCCAGTTAACTTCGCACATCCTCACACAGTCTGAAAAACGGAACCATCATGAGGAATTGCTTCATCGTCCTGGCCTTGCCATCGATACCTTGGGTCAATAGTAGAACTCTTAAATATGACAACTTGCCAATGACTTTATGGAGCATCGCCGAGTAGAATAATCATCATACATATGAGTTGGCTTCTTCGGGAGTCCAGCTAGTAATCCAAGCGACGGCAAATATCAGAAGCCACATTCCATACCACGAAATGAGGAAACCAAGCGACGACATCCCATTGAAAATACCAGTTAAGATGCCAATATGTATCAAGGCAGCAAGTAGAAGGAAAATATCAAACTGCAATCGACCCTATCGAAGCACTTAGTACGTAATGGTCGACTCGACTAAACAGGTAATACTCACGACACCAATTCCAAACACTTTCCTGGTGCCTGTAGCTTCTCCGATACGCGCAAGACACCATGCGACAAAGATGAAACCGAGAACAGCGAGGATACTACCGATGACCATTCCAATTATGGCGCCGCTATACGCCCTAAAGAAGAGACCTAGAATGGAGAGCGCGGTGCGAACACCGAGTATTGTGATCATACAAATTCGACGCGCCAGGACTGATATATCCGATGTGTTTAAACTGTAGGCTTCCCAACTAAAGTGCCAACAACCACGAAAGCCGGGACAGTTCCGTTCTCTCCAGGATGTTGGTTGAGGGCGCGGTGGTAGTTCCTGGGGAAAGACTTGAGGGCGAGGTGCCATTGGCGCATCGACTTCAATAGTTTGTGGGGCCATAATATAATTGTGAGGCTCAATATGCTATAAGATTTACCCTTTAGAAGATTTTCGCCTAGTAATTACTGGCATGCGAGGCGAGATAGATGACTGTCGAAAGAGAATGGCGGCGGGAAATCCAAGGGCCGGGCTCGAGTTGGAAAATTCTCTAGTTGAATAAGCCTCTTCCTGAAGCCAAGGCAGAAACGCAAGAAATGGGTCGATTGTTTGTTTTATAATTTTATAGGCCAAGATAAGTAACATTTGAAGGATCTGATACCGGCCAGCACAGCCTCAGCTTTCTCTATTGCGGGCTATCCAGGGGTGTGTCTCTTCATCGGTTTTTGGCATGATCCCAACCGAGAAATCGCTACAGGTTACCTATCTTGTTCATCAACACTCTCAACAAGGCATATTATATTAACTGGGGAAGAAATAAACGTCGCTCGTACCATCAGATCCGGCCCCCACCTCCACCATCCTACCAATATCTAGATGTGTTCTATGTATCTATAGGTAACAGCCCTACATAGCTATTAATAGACCTAATCGGTGAGACAGAATTAAGACCTTTCTAACATATCGGGGACCTAAGTAGACTATATTAAACGGTATATATATAATAAATATTTAATAGCGAAGAAAGATATCTATAGATCTTCCCGAGTATATATAGTCTTAGGTAATTTTATATAAGACAACTGATGACTTCGATCAAATGCCAAGAGAACAGCTTTAAGCGACCTGAAATTATAGCCACCGTGCTGTCACATTTCACCTTTCTACCCCTTCATATCCAACCAACTCGATTGGCTACATCATCCGACGGTCCAACATTGAATGCATGTTGCTATAGGGCTAACTACATATGAAGTCGTAGGACTCAATACACCGCATAACAGTATTAGGGCCTTTTAATGCCTATCTTGGGATTCGATCAGCCTAGGTTCCACCTGGGGTAGCTACCTAGCTACATAATCTAGCTACGCGCTCCATGTGTAAACTGATAAATGTTTGCTTGAGGAGCTAATCATCACCATATGCTGTTTGGTATTGAAGACATATTCTCAATATGTGCTATATGGCAATACACCACAATGGCGGTCCCTATTTTTGACCCCGTCGTAATTGATTCTACGCGTGGCGGAAGAAAAATTCCAATATTAGGTAGACTCAATATGGCAGTGCGCAAACATGAAGTCCTTCATTATTTCTCCTATATGTTGAAGGTGACTCGCAGTAGTCTGGCTTCGCAAAGCGATTGGACCTGCTGATATCCTCAAGGCTGTAGTCAATAAGTATATGGCCTCTTTTTGAGACCATTATCGAATAGATAATAGCTTCCATATGATGTCAAACCCGTTTCCATTGGGGGTATCCTTGGATTGAACCAGCCTTAACACCATGCCATGCCCTAGTGAATATCGTAATAAATTAACATTAACCACCTAACTGGTTTACGCTCCTGTGCTTCCTGTACTTCCCGTACTACTCGGCCTTGGTGGGGGTACTGGCATTATTCCGGTCACACCACTATCCCTATCCATAGCTACGCCGCCCATTATACTCGCTGCGATAGAATGAGGCTCTCCCCCTTCTCCTTCTGAATCCTCGCTCTGACTGCTTGTACTACCAACGCCCGCAAGGCTTTGTTCAGCAAATTTGCGCTCTACCTCCTTCAATCTCTCCTTTTCTATAGGGTCGACGAGGTCATCATCATCGCTCCAATATCCACCCTCGGTCTCGCTAACTTCGGGCATAGCCATGCGCTTCCAGAAACGGAGCTCTTGCCTCCTAGCCTTCTCTAGGACACGATTATCCCATCGCTCCTCGTTCTCGTCATATTTCTTGCGAAATTCTCGTAACATTTGGTTGGCACGACCGGCATGCTCCTGCATCTCCCAGATCTGTTCACGTAGGCGCGAATTCTCGGCGCGGGCCTCGGCTAATTGTGATCGGTAGGAACGATGCCAGGCAGAGACGTCGGCGATGTGCTTTTGCTTATAGGCGTGGAATTGGGAGAGGATAGTGGAGAGGACTCGGGCGTAGTTTGTGAGGAGTGAGAAGTTGGAATCGCGAGAAAGTTTGGCTCGGTCGAGGGATTCTGTTAGGATAGATACAAGGGCGTCAAGATTTGGTTCTTGAGCTACACCAGTATAATTAGTATCAAACGTGCCATGGGGATATATATGTCTAGAACTTACCAAATATTTCATCAGCAGCTTCTGAGAGTACTTGGTCATTGGTTAGACCACGCTCCCGGGCTCGATTACGGACTCTACCAAGTCCCGAGACAATATCTTCGGTTACACGTCTGTTCTCGGCTAGTTGTCGCGATAGCTCCTCGACCATACCATAGATAATGTTGAGCTCGGCCTGGTGGCCCGCAGGCGTGGGACCGACAGGCATCGCACCGGCGCCAGCTCCAGACCCATTACCCTGCATGCCGCTGGCCAAGTAGATTTGCTGTACCAGCTGTTGTGGTATCGGTTGCGGTGGCTGTTGTGGTAATTGTCTTTGTTGTGATACTGGGTTTGGCTGTTGGGAGTTATCGAGAGGATGAGGATGAGGATGTACAGGTTGATGAGAAGGAGGAAAGTTCATGATTGGAGAAAGGGAAGTGGAAAAGATAATGGAGGTAAGGTACCAGTTGACCCGTTCTATCTAAAAAAAGTGCCTTAGCTACCTAAGGTTAGTACGTTCGTGGAGGGTAGGCGTGTATCCATTTAGGTGGTAACGACCGTCAACAATTGTACACTAAATCGTGAGACCAGGCCTATCTTTGGAAGGTTCTCAGTGGGTTTGTTTGGCTTGGCGCCACTACTTATCGATTAAAATGACATCCATTACCTACAAGCCTTAACCTTGTGTTACCGCTCGCTGTGTTACTAGGAAACCTAAAAAGGTACCCCTCTCAGCACATCCATGTACTTTCCATCTACAGCTCGCAGCATACGATATTCCTACATCTTTTTTTATTCAATCTTCAATTTCCATCGCCATCTTGTTATTTGTTTAATAGTACAATCTTCATTATTACCCTGACCTTATCAATCTGTCATTCGCTCTACTTGATATTCAACATTATAAAAGACCTCAAATGGTAAAAAATAACTCTTATATCTTTAACAATGCAAACGGAAATACTCATCTTGCCCGACAACGCCAGCTTATCCATCATTCGTACGCACGCTTCTGTAGGTGCCACCGTTCATAAACACTCATCATCATCATCCGTCCATCCCATCCGTCTCATCCTATGCACTGGTACTCGCAACTCCGGTGCTGCTGACCTCAATGCTCCCAATGGTTTCGGCACCACTCTCAATATCGTCACTTCCACGTAGGGCTACAGTTGACTCCTCCATTTTGACCTTAAGATCAATTTGATCCAGGGGAATCAAAAGTGCGCTTCGTTTGACTACCGTGTATCCCAACCAGAAAACGAAAACAACAATAATTCCCAGAATACTTGCGAGAACATGAGGCGGTTGAGGAAGTGGGCTCCGCACCGTCGCAATAATCTGGGCGGCAAGGCCAAAGAGGAAGATCGCGATAGCGATCACACTTCCCACAATTCCAGGAGGCGATTTCCACTTGAGCACCTCGCCCTCATTTAATCCCTTCGCACGCAAAGCCAGTCGTAGTCGAATGTGACAGACGCAGATCGAAGTCCAAGTGAAATAGTTGGACCCGGCTGCTAAGGCTAAAAGCCAATCGAACACGCGGTCGCCATGTTTCGCTATTTTGACAAGCGACAGCAGTGAGACGAGAAACACAAGCGCCAGCGCCCAAATCGGGTGACCCCATTTAATCTTCGCAAATACTGGGGGACCCATTCCTCTAGCCGAGATAGCCTGGAGAGCTCGCGACGACGCAAAGACGCTGGCGCTCGCCATCGAGAAAATGGCCACGATGATAATGCCATTAAAAACGCTGGCAAGGACTGGGAGCCCAGCTGTGGTCATCGCGGCAACGAACGGACTGATTCCACCAGACTGTATTCTCTCGGTAAGGGGCACCTCAAGCACGAACCCAAGCATGAGTATAGGAAGCAAGTACAGCCACACGATCCGTACTGGAACGATATTGCAAGCCAATGGCATCACTTTCCGAGGATCCTCACATTCAGCCGCGGTAAGTCCTAGCATTTCAGTGCCCCCATATGCCATACCCGCAGCCATGAAAACGTAAAGAAATCCAACTATGCCATTTTTGAAAGCGCCCTTCTTCCATATATTGATACCGAGCTCTGATGCGGGGCGGTGGTCGGCCGGGACGCCCTTGCAAAGAATAACTATGGCAGCAATGATGAAGCCCGAAAGTACAACTATCTTGCATACAGCGAAGAAGTTCTCCGCCTCTGCATACCATTTCGCGCCAAAGGCGTTGACGAGGATTAGAGCACCGATGAAGCCTAATAAAAAGCCGTATGTTGGTGTAGTCGTGTCCCAATATCTCACGCAAAGCAGCATGACAACCAGCTCGAAAACGACGATGAGAACGAAGTTGATAACGTAATTCCATCCCATCGCGAAACCCCAGGCCGGTGAGATAAAGCGGACCGAATATTCGTAGAAGGAGCCATTAACTGGGAACGCAACCGAGAGTTCACCAAGAGCGCACATGGTGATCCATACAGCGAATCCCACGACGGCGAAGGATACAAGTAGTGATCCTGGTCCGCCTACTGCTAGGCTGGAATAGGTAGCAAGCAACACGCCAGCCCCGATCGAACTACTTAGGGCCATAAAGATGAACTGGCGTGTTGTGATGACCTTTTGGAGCGACGTGTTAGTCGCCTCGGCTGGACCGGTAGTATCCATATTATGAAGTATTGGCGTGTTGATATTCGGGTAACTCTTGGTTATGAGTAGTAGAGCTGCCAAGTCCCGAGATAGCTGGATTCGAGTGTCGGTCGAAGATGATTCGGAAGGAAATAGATTCCGATAGCTATAATGTTGAGATATAACTTATGTGTTTTTGTTCACCCAAGTTTAGGATAAGTTGTATTGCCAGAGGACAAGAGAAGATGGAATAGAAGTAAGCAACAGTTCGACTTATATACTGCCATCATGGATCGTATTCTCATATTTAAAGGCGTGTTTATCATGTTCCCGAGAGATAAGCATCTAAGATTTGAAGTTTAAACACATTTTCACAAAACTTTAGATAGTGACATAGACATTAGGAAAGGGGAAGGCTCGTTGAATAGTCGAAAGGTTGGAAACAACTACCAAACTTACGTCGATAGACCCCTAACAATTTAACTCCATGATAATGTTTGATATAGTTTAAAGGAAGCTGCTGCTAGCTTAAAGCTTAGATACCTACCCGAGTTATCATTAATTGTCCGAGGGTTATTATAGGGACGGTTCGAGTAACTTAAAAGGGGTCACTCCTTGAAGATGTCGACAGAAGATGAGTGAGCTCGTGACCCGTCCCGTGGGAGAACAAGACGTTAATCCTTAGGCAGACAACCAAATATAAGACTCTAACTGCAAATTTGATATTTAAGCTATACACAATATATTAAACTTAACCGAATAATTCACGAGGTCCTACCGCGTACTATCGCATGCATAAATAGACGGTGATGGTCACCCAAATCATTAGCGTGCCCCGATCCAGACGAAACCACGAGGGACTAGCAGTCAATACCTGTTAAATAACTACAGTTGGATCATTAATAAAGTATTATTTCTATATTCTCGAACTTCTAATACCAATTCATCTCAGATGTAGGATGTAACTTTCGTTGAGACTGGTAACAATCCCGATAAACGCCGTAGGATACTCAACCAAATCCCCCAGGCCGTATAACCATATCACTATCAACATCATCAATATCATCAAAGAGGGCCGGTACCCTTGCTTAATGTCATACTCTCAATACCCGAAGACCCCCTCCTTCGTAAAATGTGATTACACTCCGCACTAAAAGTAGCAAACATCGTAATCGGGACTATACTGCGACAGCAGCAGTTCTTCGCTGAGGCTGCGCGCCTCTTCGAGTGCTGTTAGCCCCGGGTCTTGCTAAAGTATACTTGGCAAATGCTCGCGCAAGAGCCTTCTTGCAGCTGACTTTCTGGCTACCAATAAAACTGTCGACAGTAACCGCGATCGCGCGGTCGATGTCCTGAGCCGAACAATACTCCGACAATCGCATTCGGCAGAATGCCTCAGATATTCGGATGATAGCTTCCAAGTGACGTACCTAGGGAATAAATTAATAACAAACTTTACATAGATTGGATAGAATAACTTACGGTAATGGGGTAGGCACCAGTAGCAAGCGATTCTCGTCGCATATCTGCGAAGAGTCGCGCAACCTTGTCTTCATCCATATGCAATAGCTTCGGCTGGCAATGCTCTCGTGCATATAGAATATACTTGCGCAATAATTCTTGGGAGATTTCACCTTCCTTCTTCTGTGTTTGGGTTTCTTGTGCTACCTCAGATTCAGGCTCAACCTCCATAGAACTTTCGGCTGGCTGGGTGGATGGATGGCTGCGACTATGGGAGCCAACGATGAAACGAGCTAGGCGTTCATCTTCAGAAGGGTCTACAGTATCTCGTACAACGCATAGGATGTCAAAACGAGACAGGATAGGCTCGGTCAATTCGACATTAGACGAGAATGGTATCGTGGAATTGTAGCGGCCGCCAATGGGGTTGGCTGCTGCAATGATACCGCATCGAGCTTGTAAGGTGGTTACGATGCCTGCTTTTGAAATAGAAATTGTCTGCTGTTCCATAGCTTCGTGGATAGACGTTCTATCTTGGTCGTTCATCTTATCGAATTCATCGATTAGACACGTGCCCTTGTCTGCAAGCACCAGGGCGCCACCCTCCAGAGTCCATTCACTAGTCAAGGGGTCTCGGCGGACACTAGCCGTAAGACCGACAGCGGACGCTCCCTGACCAGTGGCAAAGACAGCACGGTGCGCTGTTTTTTCTACATACTTCAGCACCTGGGATTTGGCTGTACCTGGGTCGCCAAGCAGCAAGACATTGATATCTCCTCGCACATGATGGGCGCCCTTTGTTGTTTTCGCCACACCACCAAACAGAGACAAGGCAATAGCAGTCTTGATGTCGGTGTGTCCGTAGATACTTGGTGCTATCGAGCTAATTATCTTATCAACGACTTGGGGATCGCGGGATAATTTACGAATCTCATGCTCATCTTCTTCAGTGAGTCTGAATCCGGCAAGTTGGTCATGGGCCTTGACCACATTGTTCGCTTCGAGAATGGTCGCAAAAACGGGGAAGCCATTACGATTGTTCAGTTGGGCATCATAGTTATTTCTATAAATACCAGTGACCTCAATTTCTTCGCCGGGCTTTGCTTTGTCGATCAAATCCCAAAGGAGGATGACCTCTCGGTGTCTAGGTAGACGACCGGCAGGGACCGTTCCGGGTGACTCTTGGAGTGTCAGTTTTTGGTAATTACGGTAAACTGTCTTCTCCGAGTTTAGGGTGAATGGCCCACGAGACTGGCAGTTCTGGCAGAACGAAATTTTGACCTCAACATTGGACTCCTGTTGGAAAGGCCCCAATGTTACACCGCATTTAGTGCAATCGAACTTGACGTATTTAAGTTGGGGGAAGACACCAGTTCGTCGTGTAACAACGCCGCTCACTCTTACAAGACAGTTGAGATGTGACTGTCTCAGCTGGCGGAGAGTGTAATGGACGGGTAGGTCGAAAATACGAACGTGGATATCGGAGTGAATACGTTCGTAATCGGGATAATGGAGAAGCACGACTTCCATGGCTACATCGTCAAAGAGCTTAAGCATCTCAGCGGGGGCGTTTGCGAGGAAGTAAGCCAAAATAGCCTTAGACGAGGATAAATGGTCATAAGAAACCTCGAGTGTTTCGGCGTTGATCTCACCCAAGGTTCGTATACGGTTTCCGTAAACTGATGAACCGCTCTCGTCGGTATATTCTGTCAAGAAGGCCTTAAATTCTCGCTTAATTGTGCGCTGCACCGATGGTTGCGATACCCATTCGGTCAAACTCGAGGCCTTCACATCTTGTAATGCTTCGAGTGAGAGTTCTTCGTCCATAATATCCTGGTCCATCTCGTCATCTGGGTCCTCATCGTAGTGATGACGACGGCGACGAGGTTGAGCGGTAAGATCAATATCGCCATCTTCATCCTCATCTTGAAGGAATGCTTGCGGCATCCGGCGTCTACGAGCAACTTCTCTATCTCGGCGATTGAGTTGAGCTTCTAGTCGGCGCCTATCGCCAAGGTTCATCTCGTCGAATTCGCCCTCGTCGTCAATATCAATCCCTTCATATCCATCGTTGTCGTCTTTTTCTCTGTAATCTCGCTCGAAACCTTCACGAAAGAGGTCCACATCGTCCTCGGCCATCTCATCCAGATCGTCCAAGTCATCTTGGATCTCGGGCTCTTCTTCGATGTCGTCATCGTCGTCGTCACCGCCATGTGCGATGTTGAAGGCGGGCGGAGACGAGGGCATAGGGCTGGAAGCGGCAACAGAAGAGGAGGCATCGCCGCCTGTGCGCGAGCGTTTACGACTCGCACGAGGAGTGGCACCGCGGTTAGCGGAATCCATGTTCATGCGCAAAGGCGAACTACCAAAAAAAGCAAGTTAGGAAAACTCAAGATACCCGGATCAGAATAGGCTTACCTCATTGTGAATGAATTATGTATTCCTCGTAATTTGGTACAGAGATATGGTATTATGAATTGGTCATGTGGGTAGGGGAGAGTGAAAGTGATGGTGGGACTCGAATTCAAAATTGAAAAAGAGAAAGGGGGTCCCAAGGTGGATTGTGGGGTTGGACGGACTTGGGCGCGCGACGAAACGAATTGGCAGCAAGCAAGGAAGGCCTATCCTAGAATTCGCGAATTACATGTAACGCGTCCTTACGCGTAAGGGTCGTGTAAAGTGGCACTAGACCTCTTTAGGGTTTACTATATGTACAGTGGAAGTAACTCCGTAAATGTACCCCGATATTTATGCACATCGGCATAAAAAGTACCTTTTATCTAAGTACATCTTCGAATGCCGTGTTACGGTAACACATATTTTAATAACTCCGAATACACAGTGTCAATCAATTTGACTTTAGGAGAGCACCTACTGTGACATCATACCTATCAATTTTAACGGGTACTAAGAAGTCGCGGCGCATTTCCTATCATCTTCAATATTAGCTTTGAGCTTAAACGGCATTTCGCCCAATCGTCTCTTCTCCAAATACATGTAGTTCAATTTTAATCTGTTATCCTATTCCTTTCTTTTATTTTATTCGCGTATCAATACCATCACCCTCTATTTTTACAATGACCGCAGATCCACCATCAGTTCCAAGCACCTCGCAGGAGGTACCTGAGGCCAGTGATGGTAATACCTCACAGCCTCAAGCCCAGAGCAGTTCACAACAATCCGAAGACTCGCAAACTGCCGCCGACTTTATTAGAGATCAGCTACAGTTAGAGGCCGATGCCCGTGAAGCTCTTCCATACGTACGTTTTTTTTTTTTTTCTTTTCTTTTTCTAATCCTGTTATATTACTACCTACTAACAGTCGGCGGCACCAGAGCATCGAGAACTGCACCAAGCCACTTGGATCATTGCGACAAAATGTTTTCGCCTGTCTAACATGCACCCCGCCACCCACGAACCCATCCGATCCATACAATCCCGCCGGCGTGTGTTATTCATGCTCCGTTCAATGCCACGGCGAACATGAATTGGTCGAGATTTTCCAGAAGCGCAACTTCACTTGCGACTGCGGCACGACGCGATTCGCCCCCGAACAACAGTGTACCCTTCGGATCAATCCTAAGACCAACACGAAAGGTGGCGTCCACTCCGAACAACCCGATCCCAACAAGTATAATCAGAACTTTCGTAACCGCTTTTGTTCGTGTTCCATAGATTACAAGCCGTACGAGCAAAAGGGTACTATGTTCCAATGCTTAGGTCTTGGTACACACGAAACCGGTGGCTGCGGTGAGGATTGGTACCACCCTGGATGTCTTGTTGGTCTGGGCCCCAAGTGGTACGAAAAACAGGCCAAGCAGGTCCCTAACAGCAACGGCAACAACAACGACGGAACACTTCCTACTATTTCTGAGGACGCGCCACCACAGAATGATGCAGATCAACTAGCTGGCGATAATCAAGAAGCAGGAGAGGATGATGATGCGCCTTTGCCAGATGGGTTCCCTGCTGAGGAGGCGTTCGACCACTTCATCTGCTACAAGTGTGTCGAAGCATACCCATGGATTAAGAGATACGCTGGTACTCCCGGTTTCTTGCCAGCAGTATTCTTCCAGAAAGGCGACAAGACCACAACGACGTCTAAGAAACGCAAGCTAGACGACGACGAGCCGAGTGAGAACAACGAACGCAACAAACGCGCCAAGAGTGAGTCCGAAGGGACAGAAGTCATTCTACCCATTGAAACAAGCGATGCGACCCCTGAGGTTAAGAACGAAACCGAGAAGACAGTCAAGGAGGAAGACCAGAAGATTGATGAAGCCCAATCTACGGAAACGTGCAAACTAACATCGTTGCCCCCTCCATCAATTGGCCAGTTCTCTTTGTTCGCGACATCGGACTTCCGCCATCACTTTTGCCGATGCGCCTCGTGCTTCCCAGAACTCCAAGTCCATCCACAACTCCTCGAGGAAGAGGAGGCCTATGAACCTCCTCTTTCGGATTCGGCGTCCGATCATGGTTCGACTAATGGTAGCGGCTCACTGTATGATCGTGGCGAGTCTGCTTTGAAGAATGTGGACCGCGTTCGCGCGATAGAGGGTGTCATGGCGTACAACCATCTTAAAGAGCGTCTCAAGCCTTTCTTCCAGCAATTCGCTGAGAGTGGTAAGGCGATCGGTGCCGAAGACATCAAGGAATACTTCGCAAAACTTAGAGGCGACGAGCAAGCCATTAAAGACGCAGGCGATGCCGCGAAAGAAGATCATAGGCAAGAACAAAGTGGGTACTAAGTGGTTAAAAGTAGAAGTCCGACGGTTAGGTTTTCTGCAAGGGTAGGAAGGTGTATTGTATTCTCACAGGCGTTCATTCGGAGTTGACGGGTAACTAATATCACAGGTTTCATATTTAGTCATAGTCGAATTCATACCTACATGGTTTCCGCGGATATCTTAGCCTCCCCCCCCTTCTTATTTCGTGATTCTTCGCCAGTCGTTTGGATAGAGACATGCTTCTTAACTTGGCCTGGTTTTATTTATGTGTAAGTCTCTTTTCTATATTTACACATGCCCGAGTCCGTGTGGTGATTCCCTTGGGCAAATCAGTCTATCCACCTCATTACTACTAAATCCGGTGCATTAGCTGAATTTATTTCTATATACATTCAGTCGAGCCATATCCTTAATACTGTTCGGTACTATTGTCAAGTTTATAAACCCCATACCTTAGCGACGGCGGCTCTCGAGACATTGCCAGCAGTTTCCGGAGCAAGCTGTAAAGCGAGCTGCGCCAGAGTGAACGCTTGGGTGGCAAGATACACGGGCGCCTTAACTCGCTGAGCTTCTTCAATAGCCTCTTGGAGTTGCTGTACGAGCTCCTTGAAGCTTTCTCCATCCCCTGTCGAGAGCTGCTCTCCGCGAGCGAGCTTGATAATCTCCGGACCAACCGTTTGAAACATTGTACTTCCTCCGGCTGCATTTATGCATAAATCAAATACCTGATCTAGATCCAAATTACATTTCGCTGCGAAAGCGATAGTCTCCGCAGCTGAACAGAGATATATGCCTTTCAGGAGGCCGACAACGAGGGCTAGTTTCGACTGATCGTCTTCGGCTAATCCTTTCACTGGACCTATCTTTCCCTTTCCTTCTATATACAGCCTAATCAGGCTACTGTCGTCATCAGGGCCGTATCCACGGCCGAGAGCAGAGAAGTATACCTGTTCCGCCGTACTCGTCATAGGTGTGGGAAATCCAAAACGCCTCGCTTCTGAGGTAATGATACCCGTATCTTTCAAAATAATGGTCAATGCGCTAGCAACAGGCTTGTACTCGGGATCGAGCATTCTTGGAAGTCTGTTCTCAAACATCCATGCCCACCCTTCTGACTTTAAGATCTCCTGACTCGCAAAATGGGGATGGAGACCGAGATGAGTTGCGAAACCTAGACCTTCGCTTGCAGCGAGGATCTGGTTGGCTGCAAGTACTTGGTGGCACATTTTCATGTTGCTTCCGGCACCGATTCCACCCTTGACGATGTACAGCTTGTACGGATCAGACATCTCTTGTAAGAGGAATCGGCCTTTCTCAATTGCGTCATCCGAGCCACCAGCCATGATAGATAGAGTACCGTCAGCGGCTCTTGCGGCACCCCCGGAGACAGGAGCATCGATTAATCGAATATCGCCACGTCCTAATTCAGCGAGTTGCTTCTCTAGACCTTGGACATATGCGCACGGTACGGTTGAGCAAAGCAAGAGAGCAGCTCCTTTAGGAAGTGCCCCGAGCGCCGGATCGTTTCCTTCGATAAGGACAGCCTGAGCTTGCTGCGCCGTTGCCACCATACATATGCAGTAATCCGTACCCTTCACAGCTTCGGCAGGCGTATCAGCAATGTTACCTCCGGCCGCTTGGAATTTCTCCAGCGTAGGCTTCCAAACATCAAATCCAGTCACTTTATATCCGTTCTTGATCAAGTTGGTGGCCATACCGAAACCCATGGCACCAAGGCCGATGAAAGAAACTTCCGGCTTTGCTCCCGCCATCTTCATTACTTAAAGCCAAGATCAAAATTTGCTCTTATACCGTATACCACAGGTAAGAAATAGTACTATACGCAAGTAAAAATATGCTTATTAGACACCCCTTAAGATATTGTTTCTAGTTCGACGTCTTCCACCCAACCGACGATTTGAGAACAAGTGATTAAGTAAGCTACTACTATACCTCCAGCAACGGCTGAAGTCTAGGCTGTCCGAATCTTGGAACTTTGCCGGAGATGGAGGCGGGGAGACATCATTTCATTCAGCCTTTACTTACCTTACTCCACCTACTTCGTCTCATGATAGTATTTAGTAGTTATACCGAGATCGCTCGGTTGATAATGGTACCGACCTATGTACTTCCAACTTTTACTCTCCTTTGCTCCTCCGGGTCGTGTCCTCGGTAAAATGGCAAAGCCCGTCGCCACTAATAACGAGCCAAAGGAATCAGGAATCAGCTACCCCACGTTCTTCTCCACTAATCAGAGAGGAACTTGGTATAGTCGTGTGGAGATGTAGATGAAACTATGACTGTTGACTCCATTTTCATCTGTGAAGGTCTACAGCTAATAGAATGTTCATGATTGGATTGTGTTGATATACCACTCATTGATTCCCTCACGTTATTTCCTATCAAATACCCACGTTACTATACACCCTACGTTATAATTCGTAACTCATCACAGGTGTCGGACATTTACAAAGCAATTAAGCTAGATAAAGACTCGAACAAGACAAGATGGTTCGGCCCGAGTTATCGCAGAATCGCTCGATGACGATTCTAAACAAGGCGCGCGAAGGCGGATATGCGGTACCTGGAATGTGCTGCTACAACATCGAATCGATAATCGCAACAGTCCGCGCCGCCGAAGCAGCCAAGTCACCAGCTATGGTCTTACTCTTCCCCTGGGCCATAGAATACGCCAATGCCTCTCTTGTGCGCGCAGCCGCCGATGCCGCGCATAATGCGAAAGTTCCCGTTAGTTTACATTTAGATCACGCTCAGACACCGGAACTCGTTCGCCTCGCTGCCGATATCGAGGACGGTTTCGATAGTATCATGTGCGATATGAGCCATTACGAGAAAGAAGAGAACTTAGCTCTCACTCGTGAATTGGTAACTTATTGTCATGAGCGTGGGATTGCTGCCGAAGCCGAGCCAGGACGCATTGAGGGTGGCGAAGATGGTGTAGCGGAGACGGCTGATCTAGAAGCAGTCCTAACAACACCGGAGCAGGCCAAGGAGTTTGTTGCGACGGGTATTGAAATGTTAGCACCGGCTTTCGGCAACGTACACGGAGAATACGGGCCCCGGGGTATTCAGTTAGAGTACGATCGTTTAGAATCGATCAACAAGGCAGTTGGCGATAAGGTACGGTTAGTCCTACATGGCGCCGACCCATTTACCGAGGACATTTTCAAGAACTGCATAAAAGGTGGTGTTTCCAAAGTCAACATCAATAAGGGAATGAATAAGCATTACGCCACCGTGCAGGAAGAGATGCGTGGGAAGCCTCTTACGAGCGTCATTGAGGCGGGTACAGATAGGATGCAAGCTGCTATCGAGCAGTATATGCATTGGCTAGGTAGCGCTGGCAAGGCGTAAGGGAGAGAGGGTAATCAATGATTGCTTATGGGATCGTGTGATACAGAAGAGAGACATTGATTGTTTGCTATAGACAGGGTTCCATTTTTTATACTAGTTATCTTCTTAATAAGCGATATGTCTTACGATAAAAGGTGCAGGATGATCCAGAAAAGGAAGCTGATCAGTTCTTCATATTCTTTGACCAAATAATTTTTGATTGTAATTATTGAAAACGAATAAAATAGATACATTTTCACAAACCCATTCACCATTAAATATCCTCGCTAGCTAAATCTCGACGCTGGGGAGCTATGTATAAGATCATTCATCATCTATATACAGGTTTATTACGCATCTATGCAGAGGACTGCAAGCCTTTTATGGCGACCATCGCACCCCAAGCACCCGGATCGGGGGGAAGTCCGTGGCTGCTGTCCGCACCTACGTAAGTGGCTCTGCCCAGTCTTGGCTTCAGCGTCTTCGTCAATTCAGCTCCTTTGACCGCCGCTTCAACACCATCCGCAAATTGTCCAGAGCGCAGACCCTCCGCGAAGGGAATGAGTGTATCCATGACAGTTCGGTCGCCAACCTTGGCGGGTGTGTAACGCGTCAGGTTATCCAAAGCAGTCTGAACGGCCTTGGCCCATAATTGGGGAAGTCCTTCACTCTTCAAAAGAGCAATGTTGTCTTGAAGAGCGGTTCGCAGGGAAACGAAAAAAATGCCGAGGATACCGCCTAGAGTACCACCCATCTTGCCCTCAACGATTTCCTCGAGTTCTTGAAGCACCGCGATTACGGAACCTTGCGTAGCAATTTTCTTGGAATCTAATGCGGCAATGAGGCAGGTTGCGCCCGTCTTGAGCGTCTCACCACAATCGCCATCACCCATTACCGTATCCCACTTGGTTAGGTCGGGTTCGGCGGCTATTAGGTCTATGCAAGCTTTTCGCAACATCTTGTCTAGAGTTGTAGGGTCGACTTTGAGGTCCTTGGCTTCATCAATTGCCGGTCGAGGCTCTGGTGGTGGCTGTACGAATTGCTCCTTTCTGCTACGTCGGATGGCTTGAGAACCAGTCATAGACTCCCAGTATGTGTTGGTCTTCGCATCGAAGAATGATTTGATTTGCTCAACCGGGTATGAGCAGTTTCGAGCTGCAGCTGACACATTGACAATAGATACTGAGAATGCCGGCGCATTGAGGGATGTCTCTATGAAACCGGAGCTGATTCGCACTGGTTCGAGCTTCCAATCAGCCGCTAGCTGTTCAAGAAGCTCATCTAGCAGAGCTCCTTGCTCGAGGTGGGACATGCCGCCATAGTTGCTGAGAAGTAATATGGCCTCATCACCCTCTTGGAATTGTACGTAACCCCGCTGGGGGTCTTTTTCATTCAATAAGTATGTCAATAGCTGTTTGACGAGGTCTTGTGGTGATGGTGCAGGGGAAAGCTTCTGGTAACCAGGCTCGTTATGGGGGCCAGTTCCGACTTCAAGCTCATTCTCTCCTAGCATAGCATGCTCTGCTCGGCCAGGAACGTGGCAGTGGTCGAGAGTAGCCGCGATAGAGACGATTTGCTGGGAAAAGGCAACACCAAGGTCGTATACATCATCAAGAGAACCACCGGCACCGGCAGCGCCACCCATCGCCTTGAGAACTCCAAGTTGACCGGCCAAACCTCGTCGACCAACCAGACTGCCCTTCCGTCCGACAGATACGTCATCCCCGCAGATGATCATTCTGCATTTGTGACCCTTGGCGATGGCCTTTTCATTTGCCAAGCCGAAGTGCAAGCAATCACCGGTGTAGTTGGTAATGACTAATATCGTTCCTTTTTCCGAAGGTACTCTATCAATGGCGGAGACGATCTGTTTTGTGCTGGGGGAGGCGAAGATGTCACCGGCCACCGAAGCAGCAAGCAGGTTTTCGCCAACATAGCCGGACCAGGCAGGTTCGTGGCCAGAACCTCCGCCACTGACTATCGAAACATTGGATTTGTTATAGGCCGTGTCGAATACTACTCGATTGGCCTCATCTAATGAGAGTAAAGGGTTATAAGAGATAATTCCTCTAATAGCCTTGGTGACGAGTCCGTCTGGGGAGTGGAAGAGGTGACGATTCGACATAACTTGTCTTATTCTTATTTCTCTGTTTGAAGATGTTTCTGGTGAAGTATGGTTTGGGGGGTATGAGAACGGTATGATTTTATGATGAAGAGGGGGGTGAATATGAGAGCGAGTGTGAGAGGGATATCTGTCAAGAAAATAAATCTGAAAAAATCGTGAGAAGGACCGTCGCTTTCTATCGTAGAGAACAAAGGCGAAAAGTGCAAGAAAAGGGGGTTCCCGGATAGGCCATGGAACACCTATTACGTGAAAGATGGAGATTACGGAAAGCAAAAAGGGTTGCCATAAGAGGCAACACCAAGGGACGCTTGGAACCCCATCTTGCCATCTTGTTAGTTCACGAGACTTGCGATGATATACCGTAGCGTCAATAATTGTGTTCCAGCCCCGAAATTACTTGGCACCATGGTTCATATTCTCACAAATGAGGGACCTATTTAGGCTTCCAGACCCCCTTCCCCACGGAGCGATTGAGGTATAGCCCGGTACAGCTTGTTATAGCTTGGTATAGCTTGGTATGACCCGGTGCAAGCCTGGGTTGTAGCTGACAAGAGGGTCCAGGTCCCGCATGATTACCGAAGGAGGGGTGAAAAAGGTGTATTACGAATAGCGATGCCGGGGTGGGTTGGAGGAATGGAAATGGAAAAAGAGGGAAGATAGAGAGAAGAACAAGTCACGTTAGGGGGTAAATTCTGATATTTTGCCATCGGATTTCCTAATCGGGTAATCCGGAGGGGAAGAATGAAAATGGGCTATACTAGTTGAGTTATACGATTATAATTCACCCCACTTTGTATTTTTTTTTTAGAAAGAACAAACAACCTAATGAACTAATGAACAGTTCACACACTTAACTAACTTAAGTAGTCAATTCGAAATGGAGGGGGGGAAAGAAGGAAGGAGATGGGGAGGAAGGAGGAGGGGAAGGGAGAAAAGAAACCTAGTAGCTACATATGTTAAATGTAGGCTAGTCTAAGGTACCAAGTCATAAGAAGCTATGGTATCGAATAATCGATTTGAATAATAAATCTCTCTTACTTTATTTTATTTTATTTTATTTTACTTACTACCCCTACTTGTTACTTACTATTTACTACTTACATTTAAGGGTTTCCGAATTTCAGACAAAGAGACGAGAGATAAAGACATTGTTTCAACGAGAACCGAATCGGATCAAGAAAGACCACAACTCACTCCACTGCCAACCTATTTGGTTCCATAAGTTTACAACACATCACACATAAACATGGCAGCAGCACCAAAGTGGAGGATAGCCTTGGGGGCTGATGTGAGTTGTTTTCTCGTCTTTCTCTCTAACCTACTCTCTCTTATCTCTACCCTTCATAGTCATTTTGCATGTTCTTATCTAATAACAATCATAAATAGGATGCTGGTGTAGGTTACAAGAATAAGATCAAGGAGGACTTCGAAAAGGACCCCCGCGTCGAGTCCGTTGTAGACGTCGGTAGTCTCTCCGCGGACGATAAAACAGCCTACCCCCACCGAGCAGCATCGGCAGCACAACTTGTCGCAGATGGCAAGGTCGACAGAGCTCTTCTTATCTGCGGTACAGGTCTAGGAGTTGCTATCTCGGCGAACAAGATCAAGGGTGTTCGAGCTGTTACAGCTCATGATAGCTTCTCGGTAGAGCGTGCTGTGTTGAGCAACAATGCTCAAGTCCTCTGCATGGGAGAAAGAGTTATTGGCTTGGAACTTGCACGCAGATTGGCCAAAGAGTGGCTCGGATACGTCTTCGACGAGAAGAGCGCAAGCGCAGCTAAGGTAGAGGCTATTAGGGACCTTGAAAAGGCTCTATAGATGGTGTGTGTTGAGTTGGGTTTACATCTACACGATAGCATGCGGGCATTATATTTGCTGGAAGTGATAACGATCTGATAGCTATGCGTTAGAAGAAGCAGACTCAAGAGAGTCTGACTAGTTTCAAAGTAATTGGTTAATTTGCTCTATGTAATACTTAGAGCATTAGTAGTAGATGATGTCTACTTGAGCTACAAATAATAAAAATCACATGTAAAAAAAGGTACCCATTTCCCCCTTGTTCTAAGAGAAAAAGGGGGGAGGAAAGACACTGAAGTATAATAACTTTAAGATTACATAAACTCTATGAACTCTACAAACTAAGATAAATGAGATTAAAAGACGCATACTGAAAGTTTATCTTCAACATCTGACGTCGTTTCGGAAATGTAACGGTGAGACTACTGCATATCTTAAGCTCGGTACCTACATATAACTACAAAAGGTAGTCCGTACCCATTGAACTAAACGGCCAAGGATGACCCAAGTATAACAAAGGCCTCGGAACTAGTGGAGATGACATGTAGGAACCCACAAACCCACATGATCCCTTCCCGAAGACCCATAGCCATGGTTTAACATATCACGCCGGTAGCCGCCTTAATACTCTTTTAGGTAAGTACTTTCTTACTATAAGGTACTTTACTCACTTCAATGTTACTATAAACCGGAACTTCCTACTAATCTCTAACCAACCACTCCGACCGGAATAGTCAACTCGGGAAAGACTTAGACTTATGTGACGTTGTAAACGGAGTAGGGTCTTATTATAATTCTTTATATCCATATTTTTTTTTATTCTTCCATCCTCTTCTTTGAATATCTTATCCGAATATCATAATATCACTATCTTGATTTGAAATACTACTTACATCATTACACCGATGTCTTTATCTCCCACACTTACTCCCCGACGCCGCATCGTCGGTGTCTCCACCAAACTATACTTCGACGCCGCGCGTACCAAGCAATACGTAGACGAATTCCTCCAAATCCTCTCTTCCTCTTCCTCACCATCACAAGCAGATCTTCAAGATAAAATCGATATATTCATCATCCCAGACCACATCACATTAACATCCGTCATATCCCAACTCCAAAACACATCCATCCTAACCGGCGCCCAAGATGCCTTCTACGAAGACTCCGGCGCGTACACAGGCGAAGTATCCCCCGCCGTGCTCGCCGAAGTCGGGTGTCGCATCGTGGAACTAGGGCACGCGGAACGTAGACGTATATTTGGGGAGACTGACAAAGATGCTGCGCGCAAAGCCGCGGCTGCCGCCCGGAATGGCATGATCCCGTTAGTCTGCATTGGCGAGCGTTCGAGGGGCGATGTCGCCGTTGCCGTCGACGAATGCAAGCAGCAAGTAGAAGCGGTGATGGAAGGTTTACCGGACGACGCCGAGGTCGTGTTGGCGTACGAGCCTGTCTGGGCTATCGGCGCTGCTGAGCCTGCGGGCGCGGAACACGTCGTCGCCGTAGCGAAGGATATTAGGGCTCTTGAGTGCGTGCGGCGGAGGAAAGGAACGACGAGGATCCTATACGGCGGAAGTGCTGGTCCTGGATTATTCGGGCAGCTCAAGGACGGAGTAGATGGGCTGTTCTTGGGGCGATTCGCGCACGACCCGGCTCAGTTCTATAGGACGATAACAGAAATTGCTTCGGCCTAACGGTAAGATTGGATGACGGCGGCTCAGCGACATAGTGGTGATACCCTCCATCCTCCTTTACCCCCAAACAAATTCAAAATAGGACCAAGCGAATGGGAGACATAGGCGGTGCGACTTTTGGTTCAAGCAAAAGAAACAGTTGGAGTGTAAATTCCAATTCTAAACGGACTTGTCTATATACAGCCGTGATGCTTGGATTCTTCCTAGCGAAAGACCTGCAATGTCTCAAAAATGTCCATAGACATTGTATAACCGGCCAAAAGTGGCGACTATCGAACAGTAAATAACTCAAGTGGTATCTTATATCGTGTCATGAAACCAACTGGGATATATGCCGGCGCCGAAAAATGCACAAAAGAAAGCGCGGCGCATATATGGCGTCATTCAAATGTGCCCTCCCATTCCACACATTCGAATTCTTGTGATCATTACTCTCGCGGACCCTTATCGACCACCATGGAGAGATTCTCTCCCTCTCTAAGCTCCGTGTTGATCTTCGCTTGAAGCTTCTCCTAGGATATCTTTTTTTCCGTTCAAATAACTGACAGCATGCCCTCCTTACCCTCGTTTCTCCACCCTGGATTGACCGCACAAAGGCATCAAAATACCAGGCTGCATTCCATATCACACTGGGCAAATTAGCAGCCCTATTTTCCCCTATTCTTAAGCGAGAACCCATTCGCTGCCTCTTTTGACGAATTTATCGAGTAGCAATGCTAGATCGGCTAACACGAAGCGGCAGATGTAAAAACCGAAAAACTCGGCTGCGTGTCTAGTACACAGCTCTAGCCCAACTTGAGTCTTGTCGGCGTGACGTAACCCCGGGTCTTCGACTTGGCGGGCGATTTGATCTGGTGATTATTAGTATATATATCCTGTGGCAAGGGGGATAATATATCATCACTAGTATACTCACCAACGGTTTGCGCAGCATCGAACAGGCGTGCTAAACTCGCCATATAATTCGCGTATGGCCCATCAAAACCCGCTGACGCCACATCTCTCTTCGCAGGCTTACTACTCGGGTGGGCGGTCATGGGTAGACTTGGGATTGAGCCGATCGAACTTGTTATATCCCTTTCGTTTGCACTGGGACCATTGCTTCCGCCACTGTTACTCTTCCCTCCATATGCATTGGTCATATTGGCAGCTGAGCCTTTGTTTCTGAGCCTTCGCCAACTGAACGCGCCTCCTTTCCCGCTGACGCTAGCACTGCGTGGTACAGGCGGCGCGGCCTCCGTATCCTTTTCATCTCGGAAGGCACTCATACCTTGCGTTCCGACCTCATTGCCAAGCTTACGTGTGAGCGTCATTTGTACCATCTCAAGGATGTTCTCGAAGCTCTGCATCTCCTCGAGAACCGCGTCCGCGTCGTTGCTATCTACCCTCGCCAGCTTAAGGAGTGCGGCAGTCAGCAGGTCACATTGTCCAATCTTATCTTCAAGGGCGCGCAACTTCACGCCCTTGACTTTCCATGCATCTCGAGGGATAAAAAGGCGGTTGCTTATATATCCACCGCGCGGGTGTGCAAGAGTCTGGTACAAAGCACGCATAAGCCAGAAAGGTCGTAGCATAGGATCGGACGGACAAGGCTCTAGAGGTACTGGTACGTCGGGGTTGTTGTGAAGGTGATGGTGGTGATAAAGTTGGTTTGGTGAATGGGTAGTCGGGGAATGAAAATCAGAGTCGAAAAGGTGCAAGCCACCAATACCTCCCGTCATCCTTTCATGGAAGGCGGCCGCAAGCGGAGTGGGCAATGTAGGTATCATGGGCTGGCGGGCAACTGAAGTATTCGAAATTTGATGAGTGAGAGGGGTGTTGGGTGAGAGGTCAGAGTCGTCAATGTGTGAAATGGAAAATTGTCGCGTCCTGAGGGACTTCAGACTAGAGGATGAGAAGTTCTTGCGTATACCCGGCCGAATGGAGGCTGGTGAGTCCGTTCGAAGCTCGTCGGATTCCTGGCCACCAGTTGCCTGATTGGTTGGTGGACTTGGGGGGACGAAGCCCTCTGCCGGACTAATACCTCTGGCGGGAGAGGAGGGTGCACGCATGGAAAAGGGCCCCGGTCGTGTTGACGTCGCTGACATTGCTTGCCTTTGTTGCTGTGCAGCGTAGCTATTTGAAGGTTTTGTTTGCAATCCAGATGTAGAGATCGATGGCGGTTGGCCGAGCTTCGATGTCTCAATCTTGAGTTGTTTGAGATTCTGACCGGAGAAACGGCGATTGCGCACTCCAGAGGTAGGGGATACCTGGGGAGAAACCTGAGGCAATGGCTGTGGTGGAGAGGGTATGGATGGTGGCGCCGTTTTAGGGAGGGCTGCTGGTGGTGGCATTTCGGTGACCGTCGAGAGCACCGTCGTGGCGGTCGGAGGGTTCGAGCCAACTGAGCTATGCCATGTTCGAGAGGTCATCCCGCTAGAATCAGACTCTCTAGGAACTTTGGACTGCGATTGCTGAGATCGCCGATTAAAAGAAAAATCTTCCATCACAGATCTCCTAGCTATTTCTTCCAAAACGTGTTCGTCCTCATCAGAATCGTTTGCGTCAAAGAAGTCCCCGCTGAAGGTCTGAGGCTTCTGGTCTATGGACATCTGTCTCTGGCGCTCGCGTTCCCGGGCCAATTCTATTGCTGCCTCACGTTCAGTTTGTCGGACTCTTTCTTTAGCAAGCTCCACTTTGCGCATCGCATTTAATACAACGTCGCCGTCGGGGTTGTTGTCGTCGTCGTATGCCGTCTCGTATGAGTCCATAGGTTCGTAGCCATCGTCATAGGCAGCTTCGACTGCGGCATCCAAAGCGGCGTCAAATTCAGCTTCCGTATTGCCACTAGTATGCCGCATGTGTTTCCTCCTCAGTCCAAGCGATGAAGTCCTCGAGTGCACTGAGGATGTAGTTGAACCGCCCGATTCATCGATGGGATCCAGCCACGATGCTGATTCGTGACTTATGGTTCGTCTATGGCTTCTAGTGCCATTTTCCGCCACTAACCTTTCGGATGGCAAAGAGAAATCCTGTCGTACGATCGGTTCCGGAGTCGGTGGTTTCGCGGGCGAGACTGCTCTCCGAGGTGATAGTGGGGCGGGCATATACCCCGAGTCTTGCGACTGTGGTAGACTTAGAGAAGTACCCTCAAAATTTCGGCGCATTTGAGATCTCGAGAAAGATGATTGAGGCAAGCGTTGGTCTAGGCCAAGGTTTGGCGAGGCTCGAAGTTGAGGAGTATCTGCGGTGGGCGATTCCCCTCTATTCTCTTCCACAGGGCTTTCAGCACCAACTAACTCGACCTGAGCTCCATGATAATCGTCGCTTTCTGGTCTTGCGGGTAATGCTTTATCGTTTTGTGTATACGTGGGCACCAGTGCCTCCAACTCATCTATCCGGCTAGTGTACGTGAGTCGCTATATGAAAACGCATTAACATTCTGGCTGCGGTTATCTACACGGCGTTAATAAAGAACTTACAATCGCTTCCAGCTTTTTTCTGTCGTCATCGCCATTGGTTCTAGCAAGGACCTGTTGTAAGAGATCGCAGGCTTCTATATAGGCGTCCCTAGCCGCGCCGTAGGTCTGGGCGTTATCCAGTCGAACAGCCGCGTTTGCTTTTCCTAAAGCCTTTGATAGCATAGCTTTCTGTGAGGGCTTGTTGGCGCGATCTCTGGCTTTAGTAGAGTCTGTGCTACCTCTTGTCGCCGAGGAGCGACCTCTCGCATGGTTCTTCCTATCAGTCATGGCGTCACGAATAACAGGTGCCGCTGGGAGTAATCCAGAATTTTCTCTAGCAGCCGTGTTCAGACGAGCTAGGTCATCCCAGAAGTGGTCTTGCGGTTCGGCCGGGCTCACACGACTAACTAGGCGCGGTGAAGAGGTACGAGCGACAGACTCCGGATTCGCGTCGAGGGGAGGGAGAGAAATTATAGGAGGAAGATTCGGCGGCGTGGAAGAAGACGGCGGCGGAGGTGGCGGCGATGGGCGACGAGTTCGCGGAGATGCACTCGTATCGGTTGAGGGTCGTCGCTTGATTAATTTTCGTGGTGGAGATTGAAGGCCTTGCTGCTGCTGCTGTTGTTGTTGAAGCGGTGGTGCTGATTGCTGCTGTTGCTGCTGAGATTGGTAATCGCGGTCGCGGTGGGGATTTGATGCGCGGCTCGAGGCGGTGGAGTTAGACCAGCGGTTGAGATTTCGGAAACCGTCGCTAGCGCCGCCGATGCTACTTGATCGCGAATGGTGTCGCGAATGAAGTCGTGGAGAAGCAATAGAGGGATCGAAAACACCGACGGGGGATACTATTTTCGCGTTCGTGTTGCGAGGCGGCGGAAGAAGCGACGAGGTTCTGGGCGGAGGGGGATTGGGAGGGTTGGGATTAGAATTGGGATTGGAACTAGAAGAATTGGAAATAATGGTGGACTGATAAATTAGGGGACGGGGTTTTTGATGGGTCTCTTCTCCAGCTAGATGGATATTCGGATGCAGATGGGGACGAGATTGACTTTGACTAGCGGCGGTTTGAGTTAACGCCGTCGTAGTTGTAGCTGTAGTTGTAGTAGTAGTCGAGGTAGTCGCGGTCTTTCCTGTCCCTTCGATTTTCGGGCCAAATCCAGTCAGCCGGACTATACCGCTAGGAGAAGAAGTACCGTTACCAATTTGACTTGCACTACTTCCACTTCTTGTTGTTCTCGTTCCTGTCGTTGTTCCTCTTGCTGTTATTAATTTTCCATCTCCACCATCACTAATTATCTCGTTTCCGTTACCATAACCTTCACCCTTACCGTCACCATTAAATCCGTTGGACGAAGAAGCCCCACCACGATTATAATAGGCTTGTTGGTGCTGATGGTAGTTGTCGTGAATTTTATTATTATAATTATTATTCTTTTTATTACTCTTCGTGGCCAATGTGCTCGATGGGCCGAAAGGGTTTACCGATGGCGATGAAGGTAGTTGTTGCTGTGGTTGTTCTTGGCGTTGATAGTGCTGATGAGAAGATCCGGAGCGTTGTGGTGGTGGAGATGGTGATTGTAGTCGTGATGTCGGCGTCGGCGGTAGTGGCATCATGTTTTTTTCCCCTACCTATCCTCCACTAGTAGCGAAACCATCTGAGTCCCTAATCGCAAGCGGTAACAGATGCCCGTGCTATGACTCTCTCGCCAAAAAGAGGTACCACACTGATGATCCCGCTTGCTTACCGATGTGTACTGTAGGCAGGTAGGTTACAGCATATGGTCTGCACGACTGCACGACTGTACGTCTGTACGCACGTTCGTGTGCGGTGGTAGGTATGCCGTTCTAGTTAGGTATAGGGTATAATAGGGGTGGTGTAATCTCCGCAATTGCGAATGGAGTCAATGCGATAAGACAGACGTAGTGGTCCCGTGTCTTTCTAGTATGTCCTAAATCAAACTCCCCCTCGTATTCTTCTGGTAATTAATCTTATTGATGTCCTTTCTTTCCTTCCCAAGTAAGTAATTGGCCGGATCAACTATTATCAATCGAGAGGATATCTGCGGGTGTAGCATCTTGCTACCTTTGCGGCGAGTGTGCGTGTGCGTCTGTGTATGTGTACTGGTGTATGTGTGAGTGCTAAATTGGTGGTCAGATCCTTCAACAATTTCCTACACATGCAAGATTCAGGAACAGACAACTCCTTTTTAACTTTCCTTTTACGGTTAATACCTTTCTCTACTTAGGTGGGTTGATAAGTGAGGCAAGGGGTATGATCTAAGTACCTACCAGTAAAAACTACATCTATAGTACCAAGATTCGATCATCTACGTACAGAAAGTAAGCACTCATGCTCATAATACATAACGTACATGTATGTAGCAACCAATATTCAGGGGTAGCCAGGTACGAACATTAAGATTCTACCAATCATATTCTGTCGCGACAAAACACACCTTTCCTTTTTATGAGCATCCCTGTTAAATTACCTAATCCACCTATGCACAAACGGCCCAATCCACTGCATGTGCCTACCGAGGTACGTAGCTTAACCTTAGATCCTCTCTGGTATTATTCCAGTTTCGATTTTACTAAATCATTTCCCATAGAAATAGAAAAAATATATATTGTACAAATATATATATATATATATATATATATATATATATATTCGAAACTATATTCAAAAAGATAATCTGACATGCCTCTTACGCGTTTTAACATTCTCAAGATATCACTAGACTTAGCAACGGTGCTTATCTTCAAAACACATCGCGTTTCAACCCCCATAACCATTCAATATTTTACACTCTTAATAGATAATTCAAAGTCTAATAGCTTAGTTTAACGGCCCTTTGCTATATACCAGTAGTGTAACTCGTTAATTCCGCTTTTAAGTTCTCTTGCTTGTGGAGTAGTCTTGTTTCAGTCCTCGAGTTTGTTGTATTTGCCAGCGGGGATAAGGAGATATATACACATCAATATATTTGTACGCTCCTCTTCTCCATACATACTTTACTACATAATACGGTCATGGTAACACTATGTACCTAATCCAGGTGGATGCAAATTATATAACGTTGTTGATAGAATGAGGTATAATATATCACGAATAAGAACCAGTTCACGTCGTCTCTAGAGAAAGACGGTATTCCATTGTGACCAGATCTCTAGGATTGTGTCACGAAATTCTAATAGCTCTAGTTTAACAGCTTTATATATCGCTCTCCCCTCAGAGCTACATGACGCACTCAAAGCCGACACAGCCTTAGCAGCACTGTTAAGCTGCTGATAGAATGCTCCTCTTCTAGGATAACAGCTTCTGTCGCCGTTCCTGTCGGCGAGAATGGCTCTAGCGGGCCACGCACGGTACTCTCGAATTGAGATTTCCGGGAAGACACCAATGCGTCAAACTGGACGTCATCAGGGTTTGAAACGATGTTGTACTGCATGCGTACGTCGTCAGTGGGAACCAACCCAGCTGTCTTTCGCATCTTCTGCACACGCGTCATCACATCACGCGCAATTCCGTCGTCAATCAGTTCTGGGTGCGGCGCCGTATCTAAGAGGATGATCATGTCTTCCAGGAACGCCGGTTCATACTGCACCCCATCATCCTTCACAACGCTCGCGTTATCCTTAGCTACCACCCGCACGATAGTAAGATCATTTCCCTCGAGCTCAATTCCCTTAATGGTGATCTTCTTATCCTTCAAATACTGTCTGAGCTCTTCCTGTGTTAGGTCGGGCAATGCTTTTCGAACAACTTGGGCATCACGCTTTAGCTTCTTTCCGAGAATGGGCCAGTCAACTCGAGCTTCGAGATGGATACCGTATCGCTCTTCATCGTTCGTCAAGACAATGTCTCGAATGTTGAGCTCCTCTTTGACGTATGTCTGCAGCTCTTCGATATCACTTAGCTGCTGTGCATCGGCAATAACCACAAGGGTAAGCAAGGGCGTCTTTAGTGGAATAGTCTTTCGCTCCCTAGCCGTCCTCGCAAGTTGGATAACCTTTTGCATAGCAGATAGCTTCCTTTGGATTACCTCATCGAAAAGCGACTCCTGGACGGTTGGGAACGAGAGGAAATGAACGCTCTTTGGATTGGGGAACTCCGAGAGTGCGTTACCAAGATACGGCTGCAGCAGTTGATAGATATGTTCCGTGAGGAAAGGTGTGAAAGGCGCCAGGGCTCGGACCAGGGTAAAGAGCACTTGGCATAACGTATCCAGTGCTGCCTTAGTGTCTTTAGCATCTAGACCAGCTGCACCCTTAAGCCTCTTGCGGTTGAAACGGATATACCAATTCGTCAAGTTGTCGATAACCTGAAGTAAACGCGGTACGACAGTGTATAGGCGGTAGCCTACGGAATTAGCTTAGAACACAAATAGGCGGGCCATGTACTCACCAGCCATTTCTTGGTTGATAAATTGTAACATGCTCTGGCAGTCTGCAAGTATCCATCGATCCATGACATTACTAGTCTCTGGGAACTGAGCGACGAAATCTTCGCCAGTCGTCTTTTTAAATAGAACCGTCTGTTCATAAAAGAACCGGTAGCTGTTCCAAAGTGGTAGAAGCACCTTTGCTACTACCTCCTTGACTCCCGACTCCTTAAAACGTAATGGCTCTCCACGAACAACCGGGGAGTTGATTAAATAGAGCCGCAGCGCATCGGAACCGTACTGGTCAATGACAGTTTTAGGATCCGGATAATTCTTTAAACTCTTGGACATTTTCTTGCCATCCTCTGCCAAAACCAAGCCATTGACGATGACGGCCCGGAATGGCGATACGTTGAAAAGCTTATTTCCAAGGACGCTCAGTGTGTAAAACCAGCCACCTACGACCAATGGGTGTTAGTTATGATTATACGTGGCAGTTTGAATGAAGACCGCGGGGGGGAAGCATTCCGGGATTTATAGCCAAGGTGATAATAGTTCATAAAGTTGAAATACGAAAAGGTTTCTTACGAGTTTGGTCAAGCCCTTCGGCAATAAAGTCTGCAGGGAACCTCCCGTCATGAAATCCTTCGGAATTCTCAAACGGAAAGTGGTTAGATGCGTATGGCATACTGCCAGACTCAAACCAACAGTCGAAAACTTCGTCAACGCGGCGAAGTTGCCCCTTGCCCTTTTTGGAGGGTATGGTAATATGATCGATCTTATCTCGGTGAATGTCATCCAAAGTACCGGTGAACCCGCTCAGTTCCTTGAGCTCGGCGATACTTCCCACGCAAATAACCTCCTCGAAATCTTCACTCACCCACAACGGGAGCGGCGTACCCCAGTATCGATTTCGGGCGATGTTCCAGTCGTGTGCGTTGGCAACCCAATTTGCAAATCGCTTCTCTTTCACAAACGAAGGGACCCAGGTGGTTGATTCCAAATTCGTAAGCATTTCGGGAATAGAGTTAGAGACCCGGATGAACCACGAAGAAACGGCTTTCCTGATGAGTTGTGTGTCAGACCGCCAGCAAAACTTGTCTACGTGAGAGACCTGAGTGGCGACAAGTAGGCGTCCAGTTTCCTTCAGGTCCTTGATGATAGCCTTATCGGCAGACTTAACGTGTTGGCCGGCGTATTCGGTTACTGCCTCCGTAAAAAGGCCCTTATCATCCACCGGGCACGGCGGCAAGCGCCCCGGGTGTATGAAGCCTGCAGCAACTGCGGCGTCGTAATCTTCCTGACCGAAAGCAGGGGCCTGGTGGACAAGGCCAGTACCCTCATCTGCCTCCACGTAGTCGGCGCCTATTACTTGGAAGCAGTCGGCAAATTGGTCGACGAAATAACGGAATAGAGGCTCGTACTTCCAACCTATCATGTCTTTGCCCTTATGCTTCCCAACCACCTTGTATTTTGCCTTTTTCTTGTCCTTATAGAGCATAGAAAGGCCGCTTTCTAGGAGGATGTAATGCTTGCTTGATGCTTCATCTAGGATTTCGATGTACTCGAAGTCAGGGTGGGCCGCAATGAAGAGGTTAGACGGCAGGGTCCACGGCGTCGTAGTATAGATGACCAAGGATGCATCTCTGCCTTGCACGGGGAAAGCGATTAATACAGCAGGGTCCTGGGTCGTCTTCTCGTTTTGCTTGGACTCCATGTGACTCAATGGGGTGCAGAGAGCAGTCGAGAAAGGCATAATCTGGTAGGCGCGGTAAACCTGGTCTTTGTCGAAAAGCTGCTTGAAGACCCACCAACAAGATTCCATGAACTTGACATCCATAGACTTGTAGTCTTAAGCCATATATATACCATCAGCCTTGAATTCGTCTAGCTCGTAGGAATAACGAACCAACTCACCATTGTCAAAGTCTATCCAGCGACCCAATCGCTCAATTGTCTGTCTCCACTCGGCAGCATATCTCATTACAATAGCTCTGCATTCGGCATTGTACTTCTCGATACCCATCTGCAGGACGGCATCTCGGCCAGACACGCCTAGGGTCTTGTCAATTTCGTACTCAATGGGGAGACCGTGTGTATCCCAGCCGAATCGACGAACGACGTGGTATCCCTTCATAGACCAGTATCGAGGGATGATGTCCTTTATGGTGGAAGTTAGAAGATGGCCATAGTGAGGAAGACCTGTGGCGAAAGGGGGACCATCGTAGAAAGTGAAGTTCTCGCGGCCCTCGGTGAGTTTTAGTTGGGTTTGGAAGGCGTCGACCTCTCGCCAGAAGCGGACGGTTTCCTCTTCCGTGAGCGGGAAGTTGATACTCATCTTGACGAGCGCCGCGACGGCCTTGGCTGACTTGATATTCCTAGACAAGGTATGAAGCGGTGTCAAGTACGAGTTAAATAGAGGATGAGGATGTAAATGTCAAAGTTTGAGTCTAAATGTGTTAGGTGTATAAGAAAAAATAGCCCCGCCAAAATTCCGTGAGTCAACTTTCTCTTACTGTTGCGGGGGCGGGGCATTTACATACCTACATATGTACTCATTGAACAAGTACCTAAATACATTGATAACTATCGATAAGAACCATACATTAGTCCCGTCTCGCACTTAAATTAAGTTATCTTCCTTATTTCTCTGCTTCAAATAAAAATATTGATACCATAGCATCTCAACGTTCGGCATTGTTCTTAGTTACGCTGTCGAAATATCAATGGACCTCCCATTTACACTAAAAGAAATGAATTCTAATTTTTATTAGAAAAAAGAAAGAAAGATTCTAACTTGGAATATACCTTCTCGTCAAAGGCAGCTTAAGCCTATGCTATACGATCCCAATACGCCAATGACCATATTTTCTGCGTCGTTAATTATTTTTACTAACATCAACGCACCCTAGGAGTGTAGGAGTCATTTCAGATATCCTATGGAACATATGAATTCAACATACCATACAGGATTGTCATAACCACACTATATCCAGCAAGGCGTAGTTACCAGCCGCACAACGATAATCGAAATCCATGTTTGAGATGAGTAATTCATTCTGAATAATCTTCCTCGGTTTCCGCCTTCGGAGATATGACGTGTCATACCATTAACGTGCAATATTTGCCCAACGATGACAATAGGAAGATCGAGAACGCAATCGAGTCTTGCACGATCTAAAATTAGATCGCAAGGGTTTAATCCATACCCTTGGGTTCAAGACCCTGAAACAAATACCGGGGCATAATGTTTATGCCGATTGATATGCGACAGGGTCATATTACCATCTTGTCGAGAGAACGTAAGACTAGAATTTACTCGAAACATCGGCCAACCAGGTTAGTCGTCCATCCATAACGCCGCGGATTATCTAATTTTGGTTACTGGCCGTTGACTTACATGGCACGGAACCACTGACTCTGTTACCTAATCACCAAGAAATCGGCATTGGAATTCGGTAGGACATACTACATCCAAGGCATCCAGGGCATCTTGTCTATGCTCGATTGGCCTGCCGATTTAGGGCGATACTTCCAGAGAATGAATGATCTAGGGGAGCTCCAGATATTAGAGGTGATCTCATATAGATTACATAGGCGGACATTTACAGGCTACGAGATTTATCTCGAGCAACTCTATGATTTGTAGAGAAATAATTGGCATTCAAGCCAAGCTATCATATGGTATAATTGCTCTCAGTTGAGCATTTTGTAGTCCTGCACTCTACAGCTTTTAGATCATGCCTTTTCCTTTCCTAGCAACTCGAGATATTGGCTTGCAACATCGACAACCGCATTCTCGAAGCTCTTGATCGGTCTTCCTAGCAATTTTACGGCATCGCTCGAGTCATATTCGACGGGCAATGTAGGTATTACACCCCTCTTAAATATTCCCTCTGCGACGGCCTTAGGAAATGCCTTTTCGACATAGTCGAACAATGTTGTGTAATCTAGTTTAGTCGCAAGCCCGAAATCCCGGGGTCCCCCAGCGCTGGGATCGAGGAACGCCACACGCAGATGAAGGTCCGCCACGTCATCAATATGTCCGTAGCCGCCGTGGATAGGCATCGGAAGCTGACCGCCCGTTATCCCCATCATCAAGAAATTGTTAGAGCTGTTCTGCGTCTGCATCATGACCGGATCCAGCATGAGCTCGTTCCAACCGAAAGTGTATCCCGGCACTACATGGGAGACGGTGAAGTGGGGGTTTTGCGTCTTCACAAACTCGTCCGAGTTGTGCATCTCGACTATCTTGCTTTGCACATACGCCTCAAACACGCTGCTAAAGGCGGTGGGGATGGGGCTCGGCAGCGGGACTCGTGTGGAGGCGGAGACGGTGGTTGGGGGTGGGATGAGACCGAGGTTGGCCACAATGGACGAGGTGATGATAACGCGCTGCAAGCTCGGTGCTTTGAGCGCGGAGGCGAGTAGGCCCGACGAAATCTTCACCGTAGGCTCGAAAACTTCCGTCACGGGATCGTAAGTTGGGACAGGCACCGGCGAGCCAGCATGAATGACATGCGTGACGCCTTGCAAGGCAGAGTCAAAGGCGCCATCGGCAGTGAAGTCCGGAATGATGACAGGGGAGAGACGATCGCCGGGTGCGAGCTTTTGGACTGCTGGGTTCGAAGAAACCTTTTGGGCCTTCTCTTCCGACCGCACTGTATATCGTACCCTGTGGCCAGCAGCAAGAGCGGCGAGAAGAATGCGGAAACCAATCAGGCCCGTGGTCCCTGTAATGAGAATTGTGGCGGCCATTGGCGTTTTTATTTTGCTTCGTACCCAATCGTTCCAACCAGTCGAATGTCTACAAAATGCCGATCTGTTGCAGGTGATTCCCTATTTGATCTCCAGAGACCACGTCTAATAGGGATATGAAAAAGAAAGTGAGATCGTAAATCCTAGAGAGACCGCAATGAAAAAAAGGGGGCGGGTGAGAAGAGTCTTTAGGCACTTGATAATTCCTGTGCAACAACGTTTGGAGCGTTTGTAATCACACCTTCATTAGGAAATGTTGCCTGCTTTTTTTTTCGTTAGGATATCTCGGTAGTTTGCAAGGTGATGCAGCTTACAATGCATCAACCGGATAGGTACGGGTGCGGGTGCGGGTGCCTAGGAACAGTCGGTGGCGTTGTGCCCCTTGTCGGCTTCCTACCTTTCTTTCATTCAAACATAGCTGAGTGCTTTCATTACCTAAGTGGTATTAGTCTCTCGCGTCTAATGCTTGCTACGATGCTAGTAGTGCTGACATCCGTACGTAGTAGCGCGGCGGTTATAACTTATAAATAGCAACACTAAGATGCCAATCCTTGGTCTATACATCCACTTAGTAATCGATCATCCCTCCAATGGGCGGTACCCATGGAATTGATCTTCCCTATGATTGTGCCGCCCCCATCCTAAGACCGTTCGAGAAAGCCAGAACACATTCTTTGCACGCGGTGTACATGTTGGGTAGCATTGGAGGAGTAGGCGGAGCAGCACTATTGCATCGGAGGGATTGTCTGACGTCGCATTCGAACCCCAGTTCATTAGACGCATAAGGCCATCGGCCTTCAGCTACAGGCAGGATGGCTAGCTTTATCATGATTTGTTCTCTCGAGTACTTAATTTACATCTAGCACGATCTCTCGCTTTTCTGACCTTCCCTTTGGTTTGCCCGCTTAACTCGCCATGTATATCTAGCTTAGTCGTCAACTTATCTAATAGCCCGAGTTGACTCCCACTTCGAGGTACGAGCCTCACGATACATGGTTGGAAAACATTGTTAGAATCTCGTGCTATTCTAATATTGTCATCCTTTTCTCGGTCGGTAACGACGTCGCCCAGCAGCCTATAAATCTCGAGGACCAACGTTCAATATGGCAGCTGCACTACCATCGCCAGACCAGTTTCCACCTGGATATTTGGAGGAGAATAATGGCGGGCGAGTTATTGCTGCCGCTACTACTATATTGGTCATAACCACCATTCTCTTTGCGTTGCGACTCTACGCTCGAAGTTTGACATCAGCCGCGCGAGGGTGGGACGACCATGTATTGATTCCGGCCTATATACTCCTCCTTGGACTAATAGGGAGCCTCTATGGTATGTCGACAAGCTTGCATCTCCACCGAGGAGATGGACTCTTAGTTAGCGAGCATCCGACGCTGACGATTCTTCTACAGCCGAAGTGTTACAGGCGGGCTTGGGCAGGCATGTCGCCTCTGTTATGATGGAAGATCCCAAGAAAGTAAATCGATACCTCATGCTGTTATACATATTAGATTGGTTCTACGTACCGTCCAATATGTTGTCACGAGTCTCCGTCGTCGTCTTGTACTTGCGCATTTTCACCGACAAGTGGGCACGGATCGCTTGTTACGCAGTCATTGGATTTTTAGTCGCCAACTGCCTCGCTACCATCATCGCCGCCCAGCTCGAGTGCACACCCCTTGCATACACGTGGGACAGAAGCATCCAAGGCGGTAAATGCTTCAACCAGCTACTCTGGTACCAGCTTACGAATTTCCCAAACATCTTAGGTGATGTTTTGATTATGATTCTACCGATTAGAACCATCTGGGGACTCAAGGCCTCAGTTCCGCGAAGGGCCGGCATTGCAGCTGTCTGTCTGACCGGCAGTATGTAAGTGATCATCTCTCCCCTTTCGATGTATCGAAACGTCGCTAATCTCCACTCTAGCGGTATGATAGCTTCTTGCGTGCGCACCAGCGTGTTTTATACCAAGGGCGATGTGATATTAAATGACCCGACATGTAAGAAAGAGCCTTATTCTTTTCTTTTTTTCTTTTTTTTTTTTTTTTCGAACTCATCAACTAATGCTCTGTAGTTGCCGATGAGGCATTCTCGTGGACGGCAATCGAATGTGGCATGTACTTTTCAGCTGCCTGTCTGATTGGAATGCGACCACTTTATTCTCGCCTCCCAGCTTTCCTTAAAACTCGATTTCCCAACGCAACCGAAAAGGTTGAAGGTGCACTCTCCCACCAGGCCGACAGACTCCGCCTGAAGAGACCTTACAACAGTGATTATTCGAGCATACACGGTGATGAGTCGTCAGGCTCGCGGGGTAGGGGATCAGTCCAACATCCCCAGGCTGCGATGGTACCGACGTATCAAACACGTGATGACTTTATGAGAGATGCCAACCGAAGCCAGATATACGTTGAGACGAATATCGAGATAAGACGAGACTTCGATCGATATTATCCCTGATATAGTTCCGGTCAAGAATTATTCACACTACTCTAAGCAGGCTAAGAGACGACAACACCAATATATATAAATGGTATTAAACCGCCTACGTTGGTCGGGCCAGTGTACATAGACTCCAGCGATTTATTTAATGTCAGATATCCAACAAAGTTCTCCATATACAAGTTCCTACCTAAATGTTTATGGCGTCCCCCGAAACTAAGTCACTATACAATACCCCTGACCAAGGTAATCCTCATAACCTACCTATCTCTATCATATCCGATTTGGTTTCGTCGCAGTTATTTCTTCCTTCCTGTAACGGTCCACTCTTGGTCTTAGTTATCACACCACTTTAACTAGATTTCCGATTCCTCGGAACCCTGCGGGTATGGTAAAGTCCGGTGGCGCATGTTATTACAATGCCGAAGCGCCCGAGTATTCATTTCATTATAAAAATCAGTGACAATATAACAGCGGTTCAACACAGCCATGGTTAAGTTTTGCTATATTCATGAATGCTTCAACCTAATACAGAGAATCGTCGCTATAATTATTGACACCACAAGTACCAGGTCACCTCTGCACAGTGTTATGAGTCGTTGTATATTATATTTAGGCATGGTGCTTAGGCATAGAAAAATCATGATACTCGGGATTAGTGCTGACATACTACGTACTAAGTACGTACTAAGACGGCCTATCGATACCATAGTATTATATCTAGGTAGGTAGTATTAGGTAAGAGGAACTCCGCGGTGCGACGGACTCCATCAGAGAATGTAACATCAATCTTGTTGCTTACTTAAGTAGGTAGGTAGCAATCAGCCATTACGGTACAAGGAATGATTGTTAATGCACTTGCGGTGTCTTGGAAAAATAGGATCCCTTTTACCTAAAGAGCTCCTTAGTTCTAGTTTCATAGCAAGTTTTAAGCTTTCAGAATTCCAATCAGGAAAATAATTGAAGCGTATCTATTTTCTAACATTATTGCATTATAATGACGTATATAGATAGCTACATCTAGTCCTACAGGTACCATCCATGTATACTTGGCCTATTAGATCGTCTAACAACCTCATAGCTTATTAACTTTAAAAGGTAATTAAGTGGATGTAGTGTATGACAGGGCTGGCAGGGCTGAATTAGGTAGGAAAGAAAGTTTTAATATTAAATATTAAATAATAAAAGGTTAAATTAATAAGTGGAATATTAGACATTTATTTACCATGTAAATGTTTATGAGAAATGATATATACAACTTGAATGTGATTTACTAGGATTAAATTGCTTAGCTTTTCGGCCGATACACGCACTCAAGTACCAACCTCCATTTTATAAAGGATATTAATATTAGGACTTATACGACGATCCTTGCCTAGTATTTTACGAACCCCCGCTTAATCATTCGTTACACAGCCGCTTGCAGATCCCACAGGTCTCAGACCACACTTCCAGCTTCCGTCCCAGCCGTTATTTAGTCATGATTCTTTTCTTGCAGAGACGAGGGCGATACCTCTCTATTCTACCATATCGAAATGGAATCTAAACTAGTATTTATGAATATTGAAATACTTACAGATCCTTAAACAGCTGCTCCTTCGTATAGTCCGTTACGAATAAGAAATTTATTATCATATGAAACATCAAGTTCTACATCTATAAATCCATCAAGAAGATCACACCATAAAGTAGATAAGTACCTGAACATCATTTCTAGTAAATGATCCGAAGTAACCCATAAATAAGGACCATGACAGCCCTAACTATATACGTAATCAGCCTAGGTACACGTGGGTTGTGATTAAAATAGATCACCTATACAGGCCAGGCACCCCTGACCCACGGCGATGGGGCGAGGCCCTCCTAGTCACATCCATAAACTAATACCGGTTCCCTACATCATAGTAATCGGCAGTGGCTGAATCAGGATGGAATTCCATGATGAACCGCTTTAGCTAACACACTAACCAGCAGTAGGTCTACAGACCCAAGGGCAAGGTCTATATGTTTCATTGGTTGAAATAAAAGGAAACATTCAACACGTCCATCATATATGGACGACATATATATCTTGGATAAGCCTGACCCATATTCCGTCATTGGCTTATGTTTCCTACAAGCTAGGTGTTTCTACCAACCGCCTGTCGCCGGTCAAGGACACAGCCGCCTCTGTGGTTGTTATTTAGTTCAACTCTTAGATGTATCAAGAAAGCTCCCACGTTTACCGTGGCCCATTTCCTACATATTCTACTCTCTTTCAACTATAGCGAGAATGGCACCGGTTGCGCTCGTCTTCGTAATATTCACCCTTGTCACCTGTCTTCAACTACTACGTACTCGTTACCAAAAACACTTGACTTCTATACCAGGGCCTTTGATAGCGAGCTTTAGTAATCTCTGGAAACTTGCAGCTATTTACGATGAGGATATGCCAGGTTGGAATAAAAATGCTCATAAAAAATATGGCCCCGTCGTCCGCATCGGCCCAAGCCACGTGTCGTTCGCCAGCCCAAGGGCTTTCCATATAATCCATGCCTCGAGACAGGCATTTGCGAAAGTAAGAGAAGCCTTACTACAATCCCATGGAGGATGTAAGCTAATCTCATATTTTGATATTAGTCGGACTTCTACGAAGTAGGGGCGCCTGCCTACGGCGGTGAACCTTTGGAGAACCTCTTCTCCCTAAGAGACGCCCAACGCCACGCCACATTAAAGAGGAATATCGGTGGTCTTTATACAAAGACTGCTGTCAGGGATTTCGAACCACATATCGACAGCTGTATTGATTTATTCATGAAGCAGCTTGCGGAACGAACCAGGGATGGGCCTACCGAGCTTAACATGTCTGTATGGTTACACCTATTTGCCTACGAATGCCTAAGCGAAATCAACGTCTCGAAAAAGCTAGGTTTTCTAGAGCAAGGGAAGGACGTAAACGGCACTATCGAGTCTTCAGACAAGATATTCTACATGGTTGGCCTAGTATGTCTATACTTCGGCAAGTCCTATCCATCGTGACATCACTAACGAAACCAACTAGTTCACCCAAGCACCCATTCTTCAATCGGTCTTGAACTTCCTGAGATCACTAGCGCCAGCAGAAGAAGCAGAACCCATCCTAAAAGTGCGTTGTACTTGGAGAACTCACTAACTCAGGGATCAGCACTGACAGCGATCATAGTTCACACTCAGTGAAGTGGATGAAAGAAGAAAGTCAACTCAGATACACACAGATATGTTAGGCAAATTGCTTGACCTTCATTTAAGCAACCCAGAAAAGCTCTCAATTAGAGAGCTCACGGCAGCTATATTTATAAACCTGTAGGTCCTACATATCTACCAAAGGGGTTCAAGAACTAACTCGTAGCTAGCACAGCCGGGCATGATGTCCTAGCGATTACAATTCGCGCAATCTGGTATTATCTTGCTTCCAATCAACATGTGTTAAGCAAGCTACGGGATGAGATCGAGTCTATAGATGGTGAACACCTAACCTCGCCAATGATACCATTCACGGTTATATCTAAACTCCCATACCTGTAAGTCATTATCGCCACCACCCACCATATCCCGGGCGCTATTCGTGGCTAACCTATAAATTCTGAACGAAAAGAAATGCGGTGATTCAAGAAACTTTGAGGGTTCACCCCAACACTGGCACCATAATAGAGCGCAAGGCTCCCCAGGAGGGAGCCACAATTGATGGCTATTATATACCTGGCGGCACCACAGTTGGTGTAAACGCGTGGGTACTCCATCACGATCAGACGATATTCGGCAAAGACGCTGATGAATTTCGTCCCGAACGGTGGCTAGAAGCGAGTGAGGAGAAGAGATTAGAGATGAACCAATGTTTATTTTCGGTAAGCATAAGATCCCAAGGCAGCGAACAAAGTGATGATTATTCAAGTTATGATGGCTAACTGTATATCCCCTCGCAGTTTGGAGCAGGCACACATACTTGCATCGGGAAGAATATTGCGATTATGATGATCAGCAAGTTAGTGGTTGAATTCTACCGGCTATATGATGCTGGTTTAGCAAACCCGCAAAGGGGATGGAATGTTCATGGTAGTTGGGTAACTAAACAAACAGAAATGGATATGATCATTTCAAGAATATGGTAAATAAAATATATAATTAAATAAAGTTAAATATAAGTGATGAGGTAAGAGTTATGGTGAATTGTTGGAGATTATGAAGGATGTTATTTTTTTTTTAACGGACAGTCTCCTTACGTGTCAGAAAAGAGATCCTTAAGGTTGATGAATCGTAGAGTGACTGTTTCGGGATACTTAAATAGAGCGACAAGACTGTACCTTATCTCAGTAAACTCAGACTAGTCCTCCTTACGCTTAGTGGGCTGTGCCCACTCTAGCCACACTATGTTTGCCCATGCTAATATGCCTGAGATTTACCTGAGTTTATAAGGGATGTCCGAGTTTATGCCTGAGATTTCTCAGGTTATTATGTCATTCTTTTTTTAAATCCATTTTTAGGAAATTTTTAAGAAATTTTTAATAAAAAATAAATAAAAACTTTAAATTTTTATTTTTTAAATAATATTTTTTTATGTTTTTAATTTAAAATCTTATAAATTTATATTATTTAATTATTTAATATATATATATATATATATATATTAAATTTTATTTATTATTTTAATTAATAATTTTTAATAATTATAAATATATTATTATTTATATTAATTCCTTTTTTAATTATTTATTTATTAATAAAATTTAATTTAATTAAAAAATTATAATTTTATAAGGAATTTTATAAAAGTTAAATAAAAATTAATTAAATAAAGGTTTTAATATAAATGATTATTAATAAATAAATTGTTAATAATAATTTAAAATAAAAATTTATAAAAATTTATTAATTTATTAATTTATATTATCATTATAAACCAGTTAATAAGGTAATCATTTAAAGACTTAAAAAATGAAGATATTATAATTAACCATAAACAATTATTAAGGATTTAGAAAATCTATTAAATTTATTAAATTACTTAAATCCATGATTAAATAAATAAATCTATTAGATTATGATAATAGTAATTTTTTTTTAAAAAAGGAATAATTATATAATTATAAATATTTTTTATATATTTAATTATTCTTTTATAATTCTTTAATTATTAATTTAGGATTTTTTTTAAATATAATAAAAAGATTTTAAACCTTTTTAATAAATAAAATATATTTAATTATTTAATTTATTATTAATATTATTACTTTTAAATTAATTAATTTAATAATAATTATATTTCTTTAAGATATAAATGTATTATATTTTAATAATTCTTTAATTAATATTAATATTAGGTTAAAAAATGATATAAACCATTTATAAAATATCTTATTATTATTATTAATTAAATCTTCTTTTATTTTATTAATTTTTAAAAATAAAATGTCATAAACTAACAATATCAGGTAATAATTAAGGAATTAAGAATGGAAGCATCTTAGATTAATCATAGAAGAATTATAAGGAATATAATCTTATTAGTTTATATAATCTATATAATTTAAATAATTTAAAATTAGATTAATTAAATTAATTAAATTAGTTAAATTATAATAATAATAAATTCTAAGAAAAAGGAAAAAGGAATAATTATATAATTATAAATATTTCCTATATATTTAATTATTTTTTCTATAATTATTAATTTAAGATTATTTTTTTAAATAAAATAAAAGGATTTTAAGTCTCTTTAATAAATAAAATTTATTTAATTATTTAATCTATTATTAATATTATTATTTTTAATTAAAATACCTTAGATTAATTAATTTAATAATAATTATATCTTTTTAAGGTATAGATTTGTTATATTTTAATAATTTTTTAATTAATATTAATATTAGGTTAAAAAATGGTATAAATTATTTATAAGATATTCTATTATTATTATTAATTAAACTTTTTTTTATTTTAAAAAATAATTTTTAAAAGATATAAAGATTCTCTATCCTATTTTTAAAGATTAATAAAGAATATTATGATTAGATATGGAATAAATTGATAGATTTTGACTTAAAAAATGAGGAAGAATTAAATAAAAAAGAATTTTAAAATAAAAATCTAAGTGATTTATAATAATTTAATTTATTATTATTTAGAATATCTATATTTATTTATATATTTAAGGTTTATTATTTATAAAGGAAATGTTTTAATTTATTAATAAAATAATATTCCTTAAAATATATTTATAGGTTTTAAAATTAAATATTTAAAGGGAAATTAAGGTTAAAATAGAAAAAGATAATTAAAAAGAGGAAATTCTTAATTAGTAAGTAAGGATTATAATTATTTTTATAGAAATTAAAAAACTTAAAAAAGAATTGATAATAAAAGAAATTAAATAAGAAAAGGTTCTTAAAGGGTTTCCATTAAGAACCTCTTAATAATTAATATTTTTTAACCTTTAATATCCCTTAGATTATTAAATGATAATGATAATAAAAATAATGAAAATAAAAAGGAAAAAAAGGAAAATATTTTAATTATAGAAAGAAAAAATAATAATCCTTTTTTTATTTATTAAAAAATATAAATTAATTAATTTATTAATTTATAATGAAATTTTAAATATTAAGGATTAATTTATATATATAAAACTTTATTTATTTTTTTATAAGGAAAATTTATTATAAAAAGAATAATAAATATTTGTTATTATTTAGTTTTTAAATAAAATTATTTTTATATAGTTTTAATTTATTTGTCACAAACCACATAGGTTTACAGGGGTGTAAAACCTCGGAGGAAACCTTTTTCCTCGCCGAAATGGGGTAATGACAGCAGGAGTGCATGACACGTGACATGGATGAATATGGATGAGGGTATTTAGTCTTATCTAGGAAATGTGATAAAAATAAGTATAGATAAGGGTATCCAACCTTATCTATAAGGAAGATAATAGTAGGGAATATTTATATAATTATTATATTTTTTTATATATCTAATCATTTCTTTATAATTTTTTAGTTATCAATTTAAGATTATTTTTTTAAATATAATGAAAGGATTTTAAGCCTCTTTGACGAATAGAATTAATTTAATTATTTAACCTATTATTAATATTGTTACCTTTAAATTAAGAAACCTTGGATTAGCTAATCCAACAATGACTATACCTCTCCGAGGCATAGGTTCGTCACATTATTTTGGAAAATTATTTTAATATTATTAAAAAAGAATTAAAAAATCTTAATATATTTTTAAATTATATGAATATTTTGAAAACAAAATAAAAATAATATTTAATAAATTATTTAAAAAAGAAGAAACATAAAAGGTTATTTATTATTTTTAATAGAAAAGAAAAGTTATCTTTTATATAATAGAATTTAAATAATTTATTATTACAGGATAATTATTTAAGGATATATAATTTAATTATCTTTATAAGGGAATAATTATTTAGATAAAAAAAGAATTTTTTAAGGAAGAATGATCTGTCATTATTGATAAATATATAATTAAAATAATCTTTTTTAATAATAAATTATATAAAAGGTAAAATTGATGATTGCATAGATGAAAGATATGTGATCTACTTAGTCATCATGATTTTCTTTAAGTAGGTTATTTTTTTACCTATTCAAGTAGATAGATTTTTCTTCTTTAGATAATAATATAATACTAGTCTCATCCCATATTTTCTTTATTTACTATTATTATTTCATTTTATTTATATATATACCTACCAACACTAATCAGTATTATTAAATAGTTAATAATATAGATTAGTAAAGTTAAAAAAGTTATTATTATAATAATTAAAAAACCTTATTATAATAATATAAGTGATATTAGTTTCCTTCTTCTATAAACCTCCTTTTATTAGTTCTTAACATATCTGATAACCAAGTAGAAAGTTTTATATAGGCTGTTATACAACAACCACATAACATATTATGGTAAATAATTATATAATAAAATATTAAAAAAGAAAATATAATTATCTTTACATAATTTTTTAATTATCTTTAAGGATAAAAAACTATTTTTATTTAATTATTTAATTATATGGTTATAGATTAGATAGAAATTATCCTATCAATAACCATAGATGTCTAGAAGGTAATTTAGGTATTCCTTACCCTTGAAGACTTTAATAAAATAGATAATAGGTTAGAGATATGCTAGATAATAGAAGAAATATTTAAATAATATTAAAAATATTTCTAAGGATTTATAAAAGTAGATTTTAAGGTTATATTTAAGGTATTTTAAATGGCCTTTAGGACTATATTAATATAAAGAAATATTTATATTAAAAGATATAATATTAATTTTATAATAATCTTGGCTAATCTTATTATATAATCCTAGTTATCAATATAGGATTCAACCAAATTAGAAATGACCAAAACCAGGTAGCCTAATATATTAATATGGAAAGTATTAATCTATAACATAGAATAAGGATTGATCTACCCTTAAAAGATATTAATCTATTTAACTTAATTTAGATTAATAAGACTACCAACATTTTTACTAGGTATTAATTAACCTATAATACCAACAGGATAAATCATTAGAAGCATAACTCCAATTGATCCACCACCTGATCCCTTACGCCAATTCTTTGGTTACAGTACCAACCAACCCCCTCCCCCCCACCTCATACCTCAACAACCAACTCTAGCCAATCATAGCCAAACCCCTGGGCCCCAGCCGGCATACAACATGCCAGCAATATCTAACAACCTTTTACCTCTTGGAAAGGTCCTATCCCCCTCTGGTACCCAACCTCATCCTTCTTTCCATGGCATTTAGCATTCCCTTGGTGCCCAGTCTTTACCTCCTCCTAACATCCAACTCCCCTTTCACCTGGGACAGCCCGCACCTCCTACACAAGCTATGCCAAACCCCCTGGATAATACTAATATGGGATATCCATATCAATATCCCTACCCTCCGGGCTATCCGCCTTATACCAGCTACCCTGGCTACCCCCTTCCCCCTGGTTCCTACCCTTACTATCTAGGGTATAACCAGTGGCAGCCATTGCTACTATATCCGGTAGTTGGAAGGAATGTATAACCCATATCCCCTCTAGGTACTCAAATTAATATTCCTCTAAGATCTAGATAATTCCCCGGATAACAATCCTTTTCAATAGCATCTCTAATTGAAAAACCAGGGCCTATAGGTATTTTAAGAGGTTATATTTCTTCTTCTTAGATGATTCTAAGGCCTATCCCAGGACCTAATCCATTACCTAATTAAATTACCATACCCATTAATAATTAATAAGGACTTATATTCTATACTATTCCATTAATTAAAATATTTAATAAAATATGCTTATTAATTATTATAAGATAATTTAAAAAGGCTTAAAATAAAGAGAATAATTATATAAATAAGATATATAATATTTTAGAAAATAAATTTAGA